AAAGCGCAGAACTCTCTTATGTAATAACTAACGACACTCTTTAACCAATCGCACACATTTTTTGTTGATATGGATGTACGTTTGGCTAACCATCAGGATCATATCAGCAGTTGATCAAAATTGTTTCTTAAATGTGCGTGGAGAGTGATACAAAAGTCGTTTAGGATATTGTTGTAAAAGTCTCCTTAAAAATATGGCCAATGCTTAAGGATGAATCGGAAAAAAAGAGTATATAATTTTTGTCAAAGCTGCTACTACCTATAAAATAATTTTTTTATGAATTGATTATAAATAAAATATTATATTTTATATGGTATCTTCCTAATTAACTTGCAACATTTTAATTGACAAATATTACACATTGTTTTTAAAACCTGTAAGTTGAATAGGCTCTGACATAATATTTAGTGTTGTTTGGTGTTTATAGTGATCTCTGTATCATCATCATCCATGTTGAATAAACACAAAGTCAAATATTTTAAAAAGTATAATTGTAAATGTAACAGCCCCCACAGATGCTCAGTCCTTTACAACAAGCTGACTGTGCTAAATTTTCTACCATTTTTTTTCATATAATTTCTTCTACTGTCTTCTATTCTGTTTTGCGTTCTGCTAGATTGTACAATAAAGATTTTTTTTATTCCTGACGCTGGACTCTTTCGTCGCTGTAAAATTTTATATAATTCTATAAATTTTCATAGAAACTGTTTATTTAAGTTCAGCATTTTGTTTCAAGTTAATATTAAACTGAACTTTCTCAATAGATCGAACATAAAACATAAAGGAACTGAACGAGAAAACACACGTTCAGCCTGCACAATCGGCCATAAGTTCCCACACATGTCTGTCAGTAGATCTGCCCGCAAAAATTAGGTTTGCACAGGTGGCCTGTGTGAAAAAACTGAACGTCTATGGGGGCCTTTACAATGTTAAAACAAAGTGTCGAAAAAAAATAGAATTTCAAATTTTATTCTTGAACAAATTTCTACTTCCCAATAAACTGCAAATGAACTGGTCAATATCATTTATGCTGTAAAAACATATTTTATAGTATATTATTAGTATACCGATCTGATCATCGCAACTGCGTGATCTGGATTTTAGCATGTAAGACAGTGATGTAGGCACCGATGAAAAACAAATGTTATAAACAGAGATGAAAGTAGGCTTGATATTTATTTCTTCTATACGATATTGCCGGATTTTGCATCAAAATTTCAAACCGCTCAAGTAGGCGTTTATGAAAAATGTTGCTTCTCGGGTTGGAACTTTATTTTTTACAATTAGTTACTCCTTTTACTACAGCTGTAATAGATTTTATTTAGCTTACATATATTATCTTCATTTCAATAGTATACATGATAGTTTTTAAAATAGGTTATTTTTTTCTACACATGTAAAAACCGACAACACTGTATGCCGCTTAATATTTTGTCTCTCTGTCTGTCAATCGGTCATTTATATTTATCTCTGTCGCATGCATTAAAATACAGACCACGCAGATGAAGTGTCCAGGATCAGGAGAGTATAAAGTGGATGTGATATTTAAGACAAAGTCACCTGCCACCTTCTTATTCAAAGCCTGCCACTGAAAATACATATAGGGTGGTCCGAACTGTATTCCGGAAACTTTGGCAGCATATTCTGCAGATAAAAATAAGTAAAAAAGTTCGTATAAATGTATGTCCTAAAATGCCTAGTTTTAGAGATACAGGGTGTAGAAGTTTCATTTTCATTTCGATTATTTCCAAATAACTTCTGAAGTAACGTCAATATTGGGATGAAAATTGGTATCTGGAAGTCTTATGGCATGAGAAATTTGATTGTGATGTCAATATGACTGCTACTTGTAGAGGACGCCACCTACATATTTTTTAACTGGTTTGAAGACTAATAACTTCTCGTCCGTACCTGTATAAAACTACTATAGAGTAATATAATATTAACATCAAAATCAAATTTTTCATGTAAAAAACTCCCAAACACCAATTTTTATCAAAATATTGACGTTACTTCAGAAATTATTCGTAAAAAAATCGAAATAAAAAAAACTTCTACACCCTGTATCTCCAAAACTAAGGATTTTAGGACATACATTTATACGAACTTTTTTACTTATTTTTATCTGCAGAATATGCTGCCAAAGTTTCCGGAATACAGTTCGGACCACCCTGTATAGGTCTATAAGCTCTTAATATAATTTCTAACATTCTAGAGATGTTCTAGAGGACCTGCTTGCACACCCAAGACTTCACCACTGACTACGCTACTGATAAATATGGTAACATTATAATTTTATATTATATAAATCTCTAGCTACATTACCCTAATATTTACATAATACTATTTATTATCAGTTAGCGTTGTAATTATCTTTTCACTGTTACTTTCAAAACCTAACTAATTTAGTTTCAGAAACACATTATGCTTTTTAAATATATTATAAATAGTACTATCTGTTATATTTATAAACTATAATCAAGAGATATATGTATGTCATGTCTGTAAGTAAACTAAACTTTTACGTATATAAAGCCTGTCTAACGAGCCGAGAAGATATCGACAGCCAACATTTAAAGAATGACAGATAACTGTTATTGCGTCAGGTATTCCCTTGTTGGACAGAGTTTATAAAGAAACTCTAAATAAAAATCTTAAGACCAACTGTTGTATTTATATATTATAAATACAATAATATACTATCAATCACATTTATTAAAATTTTAGTAAACCTTAAAAAAAACAAAGAAAAGTTATCTATTATAAATTGCTTTTAACGTTATCTGTGATATTTATTACAAAAATGTTGTTATTTCTTAGTTTTACACGCACAGGGTAAAATTTTCGATTTATAAATACGTTAAGTAGATAAAAAAATACTATTAAAAAGAAAGATGTCAATTTATTTCAATAAGAAGTATAATTATACGTACAGGCTGTCCCAATATTCCGTTGACATGAACTATTACGTATTTTTGGAAGCAAAATAAGTTCATTGGGCACAATTTACCTCTATACAAAAGTGCTTAGTTTGTCCGCTAGAGGGCATCAAACTTTAAAAAAATAAACACATTTTTCAGATATTTTAAGAACCGTTATTCCGATTTGAATGAGATTTTGTGTGGCTATGTTTTGCTAAGTGCTTTAACATTTGGTTTTCACAAAAATCAAGAAAAAGTACGGGAAGGGTGAAAACTACCCTCGCTCCTATATAAATTTTAGTATAAATATAATTTCGTAGAATGTTCTAGGATTTACTACATTTTTTGTCTCTTGTAAAAAACGCTATGTCGCAAAGTTTTTGTGAAAAAAAAATTTTTTTGGAGAATTTATTTTTTCAAAGCAGACCTACCAAATATACAGGGAGTTCCAATATTTCGTGGACATAGAACAACTATGTATTTTTGGCATCAAAATAAGTTAATTGCACATAATTTACCTTTACACAAAAGTGCTTCGTTTGTCCGTTAGAGGACATCAATCAGAAATAAACCCTAACGTTAATTAATTTAAAAATGATTAAGTTTTTTATGAAGCTTATCGTCAAGTATAATTTGTGATACTAACATAAAATTCCATATTTTCGCCAACTAGATTATTAAAGCATAATAGATTTTATGCACCTCCATAGCTTGATGTGATAAAAAACATTTTTTAGAAGCTTTGAAAAAATATTTTTTTTCCTCAAAAAGTATGCAAGGTGGCGTTTTTTTACAAGAGACAAAAAATGTAGTAAATTCTAGAGGGACCATTTTACGAAGAGAAAATCGGTCTTCGGAGGAGTTACGTTAGGTTAGATTGCAGGAAAATATTTATACTAAAATTTATGTAGGAGCGGGGGTAGTTTTCACCCTTTCGTCGTTTTTCTTGAGTTTTGTGAAAATCAAATGTTAGAGCACTTAGTAAAACATAGACACCCAAAATCAATTCATCAGTTCAAATCGGAATAACGGTTCTTAAAATATCTGAAAAAATTGTTCCAATGAACTTATTTTGATTCCAAAAATATGCATTAGTTCTATGTCCACGGAATATTGGGACACCCTGTATATTATATATAAAATATATACATATACCTACACTTTGATGTAATGAGTATAGAAACTTTCAGTGTGGTGTAAATAGTACTAACTGTTTATTATTTTAAAACTGTGTATATTTTTTTCTGTTATACAAAATGTAACATTAAAACACTTGGATTTAATAAAGAAAAAATACGAAAATGGGTGTTTTTATTATCAAAATCCATAGTAATATTAAATTTATAGAATAAATAAGATGATACTGCAACATGGCAACCGTCATATAATAGATATTTTAAAAATCTTAACAAAAGTCTATTTCAGGGAGGAGGGGGAGTGAAATAGCAAAAGCGGTTCTACCGTTTCCACAGAAATTTCAAATAAATTAGTTCCAGTCCCTGGCGCTAGATCTAGAGCAATTAATTTTTAGGTTAGGCAGTTGCTACCAGGGTTCGGAAGTAGTTAATTAAGACGTAATTTACCTGATTAACTACGTGTAGTTTTTCTTCAAAACTACATATTTTCCCGTTCATTAACTACATGAAAACTACGTTAATAAACTATGTATTGATATTATGAATAATTTCCCTTTGTATGAGGTGTTGTAATAGAGATAATATGATATTATATTTAAAGCCATATTTCTTCTGTTTTCTTAAATACATTATGTGTTCTTAAAGTTTAAACTTATTATAACCTCACCTCAAACCTTTGATATTTGAAAGTTACATACATAGATTACATAAACTACACCCTCTACATAAACTACATTAACTACATGTAATGACATTAACATTACATTAACTACATAGTTTTTAAAAGTAACATGTAGTTTTCCGAACCCTGGTTGCTACTAGTTATTTTGTCAGATAGCGTTACATTATGTAATTTTTTTGTAGTTTCCATTGGTCACGTATGGTCATTTCAAAGATAATTGTCGTTGTCATAAGGCCAATCATATTATCAAAACGATTTTCAAAGTATAACTTTTATTATTTGTATTTTAATTAGACAATAATTCTTTTTTTATTTGTAGCCTTAAAATAAAATGTTTTTTATTTTTCCATCATTCCCCTCTTCATATTTATTTAATCCATTTACAAAACTTTAGATTGGAACCCATTAGGTTGATCTTATTTTATTATAATTAATGGTGTTTATATATTTGGCTTCTATTTTTTTGTATGTATAAATTTTACTGTTAAATCTAACTTTTTTCACAACACATAATAACGCTTTGCATTAGAATTATTAATATTGTGTAAAAAATAAGTTTTAAGATGGTTTTCGTTTTTAAAATGATAGTTAGAGTGAAATTATATAAATAAGCATATTTTAAACCCAAATCCCCTCACCAGATGGCGCCATTATCATGGAACCGTTTTTTAGTAAGGCAGTTTTCCTTTCTTTTTCTTAATATATACCATATATACATACTAGTATATACTAAGTATATACAAACTATTAATATTAATACCGCATTTACTCAATGAGTGGGAAATAAAGCCAAATAAAAAGAAACGACATCATATGTCAATTTTGTATAGCTCCATCTCAAAAATTTAGCTTCAATTTCTGTTTCTGACTAGCGATATAGTCTAATATGTTATATTCTTTGGTCTATTTCTTTAATTTTCATTTTCATTGCCTAAATATAAAGACTGAAAATGACTGCTATCTATAGAATATAACAATACATAAATATGTTAGAGGCTACTATTACACTATCAAATTTCTTTGTGAAAGATTTTATTTAAAAAATATTTTATGAAGAATTTGACAGTGTATATGTGTGATTTTATAAAATATTCTATATTAACAATGTCATATTTTTCATAAAATATAAAATATCTGTTATTAAAGATCTTTGACAAAGAAATTTTAGTGTAATACCCGCCACTTATACATGTTATGTCGATATGTTCAGTCAGAGCCGTGTCAGAACTTTCTTTATGTATATAGATTGAGTTATTTTCTATAAAATCCCTTGTACCATAGTCTTAAATAACAATGTTTAAAAAATTATATTAATAAGACATATAAGAACCTAAGAAAACATACTGTTGTGTAAATTTTCTATGTCTTGTTCCCTTTCTTTGGCTCTTTTCTTCTCTTGTCTCCATGCTTCGTAGTCCTCGTCATCTGTGGGAAGTTCGTGTCGACACAAAGGACATGAATTTGTCTAAGAAAACATTAATAATTTTATTAAATGTCATATTAATATGGTCCTATACCTTTGAAAGCCACGGTAAGATGCATTCCGGATGAAACTTGTGCTCGCAAGGCATTTTCTTTACTGTTTCCCCATTGTTATATTCCTTTAAACAAACTGGACACTGAGTACCTAAAAGTTTGTCTCCAATTTGAATGTCAAAAGATGATGTAAGAATTTACCTTCATGACTAATTAATTCGTCTTTTAAGGCTTCTACAGCGGCTTTTGACGCTGGCGGAGGTAGTTTTTCACCATTTAAAGTATTTAGCTCTTGGAACATATTGTAATCTCGAAATAATCTGGCCAAATGGAGCAAGTGGTCGGGTTGTTCGCCTTCTCCAAGCTCCCTCCAACCCATTTCAATAAAGTAATCTGCCATTTTTAACTATTTAAGACAGCTCTTTAATTATTTATTATTAAAATTATGAAATGAAATTGCAAATATAATAATAAACATAACCTATACACATAACTGAACGTCAAAGTCAAAATATCAGCTGATTAATTGTATATTTGGTTGCCAAATTAAAAAAATAATATTGTTAAAAAATTCCAAATACCTACCATTCCAACTTCCAACAAAAAAATATGATTCAAAATTAAAAATAAACCTGAAACTTTAAGGAAAATGCTGTTGTCGGTAGAATATATTTATTGTCCTTAAAAAAATAAATGTCTAAACATTTTTGAGCTCTTCTTAACACTAGGGCACGGATGATTCAAATGTAGCAAATTTGCTATATATATTTATCAGGTACAAAACCATTCGTAAACTAATATTTTAAATCCTTAATATAGTTATATCCTAAATATTAATCTTATTCACAATACGCACTTAGGTAAAATCAATAAAAACTTCATAAAAAAATAGGTATCACAAATAAACAAATGTGAAAAAGATTGATCATGAACAAACAAGAAAAATGTGGAAAAAATTGATTACAATAACAAATCAAAATTAAAGTAAAATATAACAGTATGAATTAATGAGATGTTCTATAGGGCCACTTCATATGTTGCAAAGTATTTTGGATAAAATTCAGATTCAAAATATTTTACGTAAGTCATACTGTCACTGGCTACAACCGTATCAAACTCTGGAGTAGGAAGAAAAATGTTGTCTCTCCTGGTTGCTCTGAGGACGTTTTGTACTAAAACATCGACTACAAACATAGCTCTATAAATTCCATTTTGTGGTGAACTACGTTTTGCTGCAACATCTGGATATAGTGAAAAATATACCCCTTGTCCATACTTAAATCTTTGACCTCAAAAAAAAATCTGTATAGCAACCACAAAAAAAGTAAATTACGGACTTAAAATATATATATTACCTAGTCTCCAATCAAAATTCCAGTGACATATTGAATCACAATTAGCTAGAGCAGTATCATGATATAAAGATAATACCCTAGTATTTCCCTTTTGCTCGTATCTTTGTTTTGTGTTCCAATACCTAGCATACGTCATGGGGTTTTCGATTTTGTACATTCCTGTTATTACGTGGAAATAGTTTCCTTGCAGTCTGGCCTTCAGCTCTATGTATTCTTGTGAATAGGGATTGTTTATAGGAGTCAATACAAACCTAGTAAAAACATTACTAGCAGAGTAAATTAAGGCTAATTTGGTGATTCTTACGGTTTGTCATAATAATTGGTTCGTTGCCAGTCACTTGGAATTATCTGAAAAATGTCTTCTACCATCATGTTGAATATTTGGAACTATTCAAAATACGAAATAATATTTTATTCGTTTCTTTGACCTACTATTAACCATAAGTATTCGGTACTTAATTTTTGGAGGGTATTTCAAGAAAAGAACAGTTCTTTTGTCTACGGGATTGTTCTTGATTATTTGCACAGATTATTTGGGAATAACTTGTATCACAGTTGTATCCTCTTGTCTCAAAACCTGTATTTGTTTAGGTCAGTTTAAATTTTTCAACACTTCTTCGACACAGTTTTTATGATATGCAATCTATGCAATAAGAAACACATTTGCAATAACGCTACGCCTCCTTTTTTAACAGAATCTAAAGAAAAAGGATAAAACTAACAGAACAGCGACAAGGACAGAAACTCCTGTCAAATTCAAAAAGGTTCTACAGTTGGTTATACGAAATCTTACGAGGTGAGTACGAAAAGTAGGTAATAAATTTGATTTTTTCCCTGGAACTTTTTTCATGAAAAAAATACCTATTATTCTTTTAAACTATTTTTCCATTTTTTTTACCATTGTCTAATAATATAGCGTAGTAAATATCTAAGATCTTTATAACTATGTCATAATATAGTTAATATTATAATATCCATTGAAAATTAAAAATTTTAAGTATATATTTTATGACCGAAAACGTTTTAGAAATCGCCCTTTTTGGTCTTGTTAAGTAATTAGTATAGCTGTGGTATAGCTATTGTCCTATTTACGGAGGCTAACAGAGGATGCCCTCCATAGCGGAACTACTGAATTTTATATTTTATTTCGATGGTGCTGCCCGTATAGTATTTCAGCTTTCGTCTATACAGGGTATTCTCCAAATTTGGGAGTGATCATAAGTAGGGTTTCCATATGTCCGGATTTACCTGGACATGTTTATTGTTTTTATGATTAAAATATTCCACAATGTTAAGTGGTTTTTAGGGTCAGATTTACTAAATATTCTTTCAATTTCCAGCCGAACTATATACCCATATACGTATTATTTAAAAATATACTCAGGGTTCCCTATATTTAACCCCGTGTGCAGTTTCTGTGCCGTAAGAGAAAGACAACATAACCCAGCTCCATATTAAAACTGCATAAAGCTATTTCACCCGGATATGGATTGAACTGCGATTGCGCCAAACTCCGATTGATTGTTGTTTAAGTTCTCTTTGGATTACTTTTTATTTATGCGCGTAAAAGAGTGATTTTGTTTAGTTTATTGTTTCCAACTATTTTTTGATATTTTTCCCACTCCATGATAATGTGTTATAAATAATAAAAATATAAATAAAATTGAAGGTTAGGTGAAATGCATGATGAAATGTCAGTCAACCACTTCCCTTTAAAAACACCGACCAATGAAAACTTCTTCAGGTAAGGCATGCGCAGTTAAATGAATATCCGGGTGAAATAGACTTATGCAGAATTCTATATTTCTCTTTCACTCTTTGGACTTCCCTTTTTAGAGATTAGGCTGAGTATATTTTTAAACAATACGTATATGACTATACCCCGGACACCATAACAACGCAAACATCTGTTGTATTTATACTATATTTATACACCGTATGATCGAAAAAACACACAGCATCAGCGATGGCTATGAAATGGAGATTGCTCTCATTTTATATGTAAATTTATATGGGAAATGTCGAATCGATCGTCATTTTCCAGCCAACTGGACGCCGTTTTTTTTCGATCATATGGTATTATAAATACAATACTATCAATCAAATTTATTAAAATTTTAGTAAACCTTGAAAAAACAAAGAAAAGTTATTTATTATAAATTGTTTTTAACTACGTTATCTGTGATTTATTACAAAAATGTTATTTTTTAGTTTTGCGTGCACAGGGTAAAATTTTCGATTTTTATAAATACGTTAAGAGTAGATAAAATAATACTATAAAAAAGAAAGATGTCTATTTGAATAAGAAATGTAATTATACGTACAGGGTGTCCCAATATTCCGTAGACATAAAACTACTACATATTTTTCGAAGCAAAATAAGTTTATTGGACACAATTTACCTCTATACAAAAGTGCTTCGTTTGTCCACTAGAGGGCATAAAACTTTAAACACATTTTTTTAGATATTTTTTAAAAAGAAGGGTGAAAACTACCCCCACCTTCAACAGATATTCTTTTCGTAAAATGGTCCCTCTAGTATTTACTACATTTTTTGTCTCTTGTAAAAAAAACGCCACATCGCATAGTTTTTGCGAAAAAAATTTTTGAAGAATTTATTTTTCCAAAACAGACCTACAAAATATACAGGGAGTTCCAATACTTCGTGGACATAGAATAACTATGTATTTTTTGCATCAAAATAAGTTAATTGCTCATATAATTTTATTTACGAAACGTTATTTTAAAAATTATTCATGTTTTAAGTTTTTTATGAAGCTTATCGTCAAATATAATTTGTGATACTAACTAAAATAGTAAAAAATAGTAAAATTCCATATTTTCGCCAACTATGCAGATTATTAGAGCATAATAGATTTTGTACCTACGCCTCCACAGATCGATGTGACAAAAAAACATTTTTTGTAAGTCAGCTTTGGAAAAATATTTTTTTTCCTTAAAAACGGTGCATTTTTGCACGGTGGCGTTTTTTTACAAGAGACAAAAAATGTAGTAAATACTACAGGGACCATTTTACGAAAAGAAATTTGGCCTTCAGTGGAGTCGGAAAATATTTATACTAAAATTTATGTAGGGGTGGTGGTAGTTTTGACCCTTCCCGTAGTTTGTTTTTGATTTTTGTAGAAGTAAAAAAAATAATTAAGTAAAATCTCATTCTAATCGAAATAACAGTTTTTAAAATATCTGAAAGAATTTGTTTATTTTTATATCTAGGGACTTTAATTTTTATTAAAGTTTGATGCCCTCTAGCAGACAAACGAAGCCCTTTTGTATAGAGGTAAATTGTGTCCAGTGAACTTATTTTGATTCCAAAAATACGTAGTAGTTGTTTGTCCACGGAACCTTGGGACACCCTGTATTAAAAATGGAATAATGAAAACTTGTGAGTGGTACAGGAAAAAATAACAACATATGTATTTTTTCTATTTTAATAAAAATACGAATAATAAACTTGTAAATGTGTAACAAATCATGAAAAAAATATACAATTATACGATTATTTCTAATTATTCCTTATTTCTGAATTCTTGGTCGAATTTCGGCAATGTTTTGTAGTTGTTCAATCTCTTCACTCTTAACTTCGACCAAACAATGTAATTGGTTAAACCAACCGACTGAGCTGCAGCTAGTGCTGCTGTTTCTGCATAGATCGCAGTTGTACAACCCAGCCCACTTGGCACATTGAGACTCGACCAGACATCTCTATCCACGTCATCTTTGCTCAAAGGTGGACAATTGATGACCTATAGAAATTAAAAACAAAAATACTAGAACATGTTATAGAACATTTTAAAATTCTTAAAGTTCCTATTAATTAATAAAAGATAACACCATGTTTCGGGAGGTATCTTCAGATCTAGAATTAGTATTATTAGTGGTAACGTCACAAGTATGCAACTAACTGTCTTTTTCTATCTCTTAAATATCTCTCTTTTTTATTTTGAAATATACAGAGTTGCTGAACTAAGATCCATACCCAAGTTGTATTTTTGCTTATGGAAGACCCGGTATATTATTTTATTTTTGGATCCAATCACGAATCACTAGCAACGAATCGATTCGTTCCGCCAGCAGATACAAGCTACTAAAAAGCGGCGGTCACACTGGGCTGGTTTAAATGATTTTGAATGATACTCTGAATAGAATGACATATCACATGTCAACTTTTGACATTTTCGCATATGGTTTATTTGAAATTGTAACATGCGGTTCATAACGAGAATTTGACTCGAAATACCAAGTGTGTGGTGTCAAATTATTCGTAAAATATGCTTTTTCGAAATATGCAAATTAGCCACCCTCGTTCCACTTGAAAAAATTGAGATATGATCAAAAATACGATTTGGGCATCTTTTAACCAGCCAGGACAAGACACTAAAACCATTAGACAATCAAATCTATTTTCCAAGGCTCCTTGATTAAAAAATAGTGTTTTTAACACAGCCATGGCAGTCTAGATTGAAATTTAAAATACAATTTGTTTTTGAGCGAATATGTCAAAAGTTGACATATGATACGTCATTCTATTTAGAATGTCATTTTCTATCGAATAAAGTAAAAAAAAAAATAACCGAGGGTGCCATTTAAAAATCAAAAGTTGCAGTCATTTCCGGTGAAACAGGAAGTGACAGAAAACAATTCAATACGTCAATAAATCCTAATTTATGTGATATACTAACATACCAAATCTCATTTTTTTATCTGAAAAAATAGGTTTATAGGTTATAGGGGTGAGCCAGTTTTGAGACGCACCCGGTATAAACAGTTATTATTTACATCAATAAAACTCACCTTCTTAACAGCACTTAAGGGACATAAAGGAACATTACTACCGCTTTCCCGTTCAAAATATTTTAATAAAGTTGCGATGAGTTTTTTACGGCTATTAAGCTATCTTGTACCACATCGCACTAAAAGAGGTTCTAAAAAGAACAATATTTGACTGCAAGGTCTGCTAGTTAACATTTTTAAGCTTAAAGTATCATAACACTATTTATTTAAACCAAAAATTCGTAATACAAAACTAAAGTGTCAAAACAAATGTCAGTGTCAGGAAATAAATAAATAAATGCGGCAACTTGACATTTTTTACAACAGAGCTACCACCTGAATCCCCAGCACGAAATTTAAATTCCAGTTAGTCAGCACGGCGCTGAATATGTCTATGGTTGGCAACAATGAATTTAAAAATCGCGCCCTCGATTACGTAACTAAAAGTTTAATTAATATCAAATATAGTTGGTTAAGTTGGTTGCATACTGAGAGATATTTTTCATTGTATAAACTTACTGGAAAGTCTGTGTTTCCTGATATGACAGGACCCAAACCATTTGATCTGCCGGCAACAGCGATAAAGACGATTTTTACGTTTAGTGATTCGTAATGACTAATTATTTTCAAAGCTGCCTCTGTGGTCTTGTGGGCCGAAGACACGCGAATCTCCACGTTGAGACCCAGGTCTTGGCAGTGTTTTTTGATTTTGTTACAGTGATCCTTATCGCTTGGGCTGCCCATAACGATAACCACCAAATGATCGCTGTAAATAAAATATTATATTTAAATTATATTTTTTCTAGCAATAGCTTATATTACAATTTTATTTTTTCTAGCAAAAAATAGAAAATAACTTTTATTTTTTTAGATTTCTCTTTGAGTTGGCGTTAACACTTAGGTTTTTTTTGTTTTATTTTTTCAAAAACCATGTCCTAAAATGCTTTGTTTTGGCAGATACACGGCATGGAAGGGTGTTTCATTTTTATTTCGCTTTTTTCTAAATAGTTTCTAAACCAACATCAATATTTGAATGAAAACTTATGTCTATAGCTTTTTTCGTTTTCCTGTTATTACCGATTCTGAACCGTCCTAGAACTGTGATGCGTATGCGCAGAAGGAAATATGAAGACATTATTTCATTTGCGCATGCGCTGCAGAGTTCAGAATCGGTAATAACAGGAAAACGAAAAAACTTATGTGTTTTTTTACCTGAGAAATTTGATTTAGATGTTAGTATGACTTTTACTTGTAAGGGGCACCACCTTCATGTTTTTAACTGTTTTGAAAAGTAAAAATTTGTGTGTGCAATATGTGTGCATATTTGAAGTGAAACTTCGTCTTACTATTTCATTCGGGTACCTTTATCCACGCGCCGAGTATGGTTCCAATCGACCCATAATTAAGAAAAATCCTGATAATTTCGTCCATTTAGAGGCATCGGTTCGAAACATAGAGAGCGTCATTCTGTAGCCCGTCCCCAATTATGCCGAAATCGACCCATACTTTTCTTCAGTATCAAATCGTTAGTCCCACCTTGATGAAAGTGTAAACGAAACGTTGTACTCAACTTTGCAGGGTGGAACCGTCGCTCACATGGCCTACATACCAAATTTGGTCGCGTTCGGACATCAACTTTTGACGTTTCTTACGTCAAAACTGTCAAAGTGACACGTGTCGTACACGGTCAAGTTGGTCTTGATCCAATCTATCGACATACCAAATTTCATTTAAATCTGACGATTTTTGATTGATTCATTGATGATGGTTTCGTAGTGCACGAAACGTCGTCAAAATTCAACTTTTACACCTTGTATCTCCAAAACGAAGCATTTTAGGACATAGGTTTATACAACTTTTTTTATTTATTTTTATCTGCAGAATATGCACCCTGCATAAAGGAATATATTACTTGGGAGGTAAAAGATGGTCAAGTTGATCCACAACCCATTCGAAGTTTCGCTTGACCGTTTCGAGATCTTTGTCGGTTACAGTGGTCAGGTTTCGGTATACTTGCTTGTCCACCATCAGTCTCTTGTCTCCTGAAGGCCACAGTCTCCAACTATCCGAATCTATGACGTCAGCAACAACTAATTCTCCTGTTAAAGGAAATTAATAATTAAGAATTTTAAATATTGCATAACCAATAATTTAGTATCCAAAGTTCTTCTGATTTAAAACCAACAAAAAATACTGAACAAATGAAAATCGTCGTATCAATAAATGGTATTGATACCACGGAATACAGTTTTACAATAAAACTGTCGTTTTGTTTTACACTAAAAAATTATAAGTAAATTTACCAAAAATAATATGGCCATGTTACAGCATCTTTAATAAGCGATTTTGAAAAATCTAATATCATAATTCACAACATAAATAAATGTAATTTAAATAATCTAATAAATTCACAAGAATCACACGTCAGCACAAGAATTAATTCCGAAAAGTAATGTATGAGGTGATGACAATTTTTTTTATTATAGCATGCATATTTAAATATTTCAAAAACCAAAGCTTTTAAACATATTAAACCCTTATAATAAATGCCTTATTTTATGTCCAAAAATCCATAAATGAAATAAAATACCGGATGTTTAATAAGAAAAGGTATAACTTTGGTATGGATCTTAGTTCTGACACACCCTGTACATTTGAAAATAATTTTAAATTATGCACATTGCCTTCAAAAGTGAAAATAATTATACTAAAATTTTTGTATAAGGGGGTAGTTTTCACCCTTCCAGTACTTTTTCCTGATTTATGTGAAAGTCAAATGTTAAAGCACTTAGTACAACATAGGTATAGCAAATCTCATTCAAATCGGTATAACGGTTTTAAAAATATCTAAAAAAATTTGTTTTTTTTAAGTTTAATGCCCTCTAACGGACAAACAAGGAACTTTTGTATAGACGTAAATTGTGTTCAATCAATTTATTTTCATTTCAAAAACAATTTTAGAGACATTCATACATTAACGGTCCTAAAGTAGATAAGTTTAAATTTTCAGAAAAAACTTTTCGTTGGAGGTTTGAGTTGTAAAATTTGGAACGCCCTGTATACTCTAATTACGAAACACATTGAAAAACAATGAACGATAAACACTGATGAAATCCTACGGAAAACTACGAATAAACAAAATAGCCCCATTGCGGGGGGTCTCAAAACTATAATTAGTCTTATATTAACGTCATTATCATCAAAAATACAAGTCAAAAGGTTATGTTAACTAGATAACCGATATTTTTTTATTTACACAACTGAAAATAGCTGATGCTAACTTTGTTAAGTAGAAATACTTTTAAAACAATCATATTTATATAACATTTTACTGACATACAGAGCAAAATTTCTCAATAGCTTTTAACTTAATAACCAATAAAAAGCTTGATGTTTTATTGGGTACTTTATTTATTATGGAATCTATAATATAATATATTTATTATAATGTCATTTTAACAGAACGTCAACGGTTTTTGTAGACGTATCTATTTTAAAAAAACTAAAGTGTTCTCGAATAGTTGAATTTAAATCTTTTAAATAGTTTTTTTCTTTATTCTTTGTATTTTTTTTTGCTTCCGACGACGGAAAGAGATAAACTTTCCGAAACGTTAAGCATTTTTTTGTTCGTTAGGCAAATTTGTATATCTGTAAACCTAAGATCTGACAAGTAGTTTCCGTTTGGATTAACGCAGAAGTGTTTACAAAAAATAACTATTTTATTTTGTAGATTTTCTTGCAATGGCGAAATACCCATATAGATTTTGGAGAGATGAATCCGCCACATAGGTATAGACATTTTTTATGGAATATACTTTCCCTTGAAAATAACCATTTAGAAATATGTTTCCGCAAATCTTAAACCCATTGGCTTATTAAATAACTAGCGTGTACCCGCAACTTTGTTCGCGTCGAATTAATCATTTGTAATGGCAATGATAAAGCAAAGCAAGAATTTCCATAACATATAAACTGGATAAAATTGTCTCACATTTATGTCAGTATGAGAAAAAACAATATGGCGATTATACAGGGTTGTTCACCACATACGACACGGAGTATTGTAGCTAAACGATGAGATTTTTACAAATTGTAAGTTTGGGGTTCGTTGAAGGACTATTAGAGCTACAATTTAAAAATATTTTTACAAGATACAGATGATACGTCATTCTATTTAGAATGTCATTTTCTATCGAATAAAGTAAAAAATAACCGAGGGTGCCATTTAAAAATCAAACAGAGTGTCCCAAATAAATAAAAAATATCAAAGTTGTATTTTTTTAAATGGAACACCCTGTATATTATTACATTTTTAGTTTCTACGATTAAAATAAAGGTAAATTTGATTAAGGTTTATTATACTTAAACCTTACCGTTTTTGAAATATTTTCAATTTTGTGAAATTGCAGTAAAAATTTTAAAGCTTCATTTCTCCAAGGGTATCAATGTTTTTAATACTAAATATTTAATGAAGTTTATTTATTGATCAGTTATTGTGTTGCAACAATAAAAATAATACTACCTTATACAGAGTGTCTAAAAATTTATTTTAAATAATGATTAGCTTCAAACGGCAATAACTTCTTTAATTTAAATGGAATGCCCTGTATATATTTTAGGAGAATCAGATGCACAATTAAATTGTATATCAAATTGTATTACACCATTCTTTACCTATCCCTTCAAGTTTTCGTAGAAAATGCATTTTCTTATAATTTAGACCTCATTTATCAATATATCCATGGAATATTGACATTTTAGATTGTTTTTAAAGCAACAAATGTACAAAATGTACAGACTAGTAATATTATCAATATAAATAAGCATTTATTAAAAAATGAAATATCATTTTTAAGGTGTTACTTTTTATCACACTGTCTAATGCCCATACAAAATTCAGTTTTTTAGTATTTGGAGCAATTATTATTAATCAACGCAAACAGTCAGTTAATGTAGTTTGAATACTGGAATCATATTAATTGGTCCTCTTTAACAAATATTTAAACAGTTTTTTTATTTTTTAATGAAATAAACGAATTATATCGACAATATTAGTATCTGTACTCCTTAAAAATTTGGTACATCTTTAAAAATAATCTAAAATGTCAATAGTCCATGGGTATATTGATAAATAAGTTCTAAATTACAAGAAAATGCATTTTCTACGGAAACTTAAAGAGATAGGTAAAAAATGATATAATATAATTTGATAGACAATTAAATTGTGTATCTGATTCTCGTAAAATATACAGGGTGTTCCATTTAAATTAAACAAGTTATTGCCGTTTGAAGCTAATAATTATTTAAAATAAATTTTTAGACACTCTGTATAAGGTAGTATTATTTTTATTGTTGCAACACAATAACTGATCAGTAAATAAACTACAGTAAATATTTAGTATTAAAAACTTTGATACCCTTGGAGAAATGAAGAATACCCAATACTCCGTGTCGTATGTGGTGAACAACCCTGTATAACTTGGTAATATTTGAGGGGTAGTTTCATCTCGTTTTGGAATTTGACTTTCGAAAAATCCGTTTGCCAAAAATAAGCTTTTTCCGTCAAGCAGTTTAAGCAGAATCGTGGTTAATCAATTACCCAACTTTTTGGAACACCCTGTATGATTTTTTAAAAAGTTTCAAAATATGTAAAAAAACAAAATAAATTATGCGTGTCCAAGCGTTTTCCCGAAAGACTAACCGTGTTTTAAATAACAAATATTGTAATATTTGAGGGGCGTTTTCACCCTCCTGGAATTTGAGATTCGGGAAACCCCTCCTTATCGAACCTCTACTCCTCACAGTCAATCCGATTGCCAAAAATCAGCTTTAAACGTCAAGCAGTTTAAGCAGAATCGTGATTACTCAATGGTTATATTTGAGTATAAAGTTTTAAAAAATCTTAAAATATGTAAAGCAACAAAATAAAATATACGTGTTTAAGAGTTTTTCCGAAAAACTCACCGGTTTTTAAATAAAAAATTATTTAATATTTGAGGGATAGTTTCACCCCCTTAGAATTCGAGTTTCGAAAAATCCCTTCTTATCAAACTTCTACACCCTAAAGTCAATTCGTTTTCCAAAAATCAGCTTTTTACGTCAAGCGCTTTAAGCAGGATCGTGATTAATCAATGACCAGATTTTTCGAAACACCCTGTATACATTTTTAAAAAATCTTTAAATATGTAAAAAACAAAATACAATATACGTGTTTAAGCGTTTTTTCGGAAACTTGACCGTTTTTTAAATAAAAAATATTGTAGTTTTAATTCAGTAGCATTACTCGGAAATATTTTGTTCTAACCTGATGTATCCACTCCAAATTCGATTTTCATATCTATCAAGGCACATTGTCTGGTTTGCCATACTTTCTCCAGAATTTCGAAGACTAGAACTGAAATTCTGGCCATGTAATCGACTTCTTTCTCACCTAAAATAATATAAAAAGCTTTAATTTTACTTCAATACCCATCCAGTTTTTTTTCTGAAGCTTCTATCATCTCTTCTATTATAATAATTATTTACATCAGATGGCTTCAGAGCTGCAACAAGTCAGTTTTAAAAAGACTTAAGTCTTAGTCATTTCTAAAATCAAAATGATTTAAATCTTAATTCAAATTCAATATAAAGTTCAAATGATTTAAGTCTTAAGTATTTGACTTAAACCATTTCATTTCAAGTCGAGTAATTTTTGTAAAGACTTAAATCAATATAACGTTATTTAAGTCGTTTTTATGACTTAAGTCTATGTTTTTGACATGAATCATGATGATCTGCAAGTTAAGTCAGTAAAATGACTTAAAAATCAATATAATTATCCTCAAGTCAAGACAACCAGAATTCAATTTAAGTACCTACCTTTTTTAAATGTTAATATTAATTTTCTTGTTTTTACCCCAGTCAAAATAGATATTTCAATTAACAATAATTCGCATAGAGCTGAAAATTGGTACAGGTCTTAAATACACTAATATACATGATATCTGAAAAATCCCTACCCCCCCCCCCCACGTCTGCTAAAAAAATTATTCAAGGTCAAAAGTCAAAAATATGTTTTTTTGCTTTTTTCTCCTACGGTAAGCGCTATCGCAAAAGTACCTTAAACAAATGTTGTAGACCATTAAATTTTCTATAATAATGGTTCTTATACTTTTTTCTTACGAACCACCATTCCTGAGATATGGCGATTTCAAAAGTTGAAAAACTCATATTTTTCATAATATGCACCTTTGATATGCTCACATTTCCGCACCACCTGTGAGGTAGTGTACTTGACGCGTTTTTTAACGTGGTTTCCCCTGTAGGACTAGTCCACGATCTATTGTGGTTAAGTTTTATTACACATTATACTATTAATTTTAAAAAACGGTGCTCTTGGTAATGATTATAGTCGAACGGATTATTGCTGATTTTGGGAGAATTTTAATCTGAGTGGTAATCTTCAAATGATACTTCAACAGTAATGTCTTCTTCCTCATCGTCTTGCCGAATATCTGGAAATCCATCTATGACAGATGCATCAGTTGTCTCCTCATCAAAATCCCCATCTATATTCAAGTCAATATTGGAGCAAGACTGATCTTGATAATTAGTACATATTGGTGTACAAAACAATCCGACTCTTTTACAACCACAGTTTGCACTATAACCTTTTTTGCAATTGCAAAAAATTGTGTTAAGTAGTTTTTCTGGAGCAGGTGGAAGTAAAGTTTTAATTGGCTCCAAAGTATTATCTATAAATTTCCAACCCCAGTCTTCTGGGTTCAGTTGATTGCCTAGCCACAATTGAACTTGATAGTATACACGAAATAAGTGTTGACAGGCAGAAGCAGATATTGGAGGAAGACAAAAAAGTTGTACCATTTTATTGTTCCGAGTATTTTTAACAAAACTTAAATATCTATACCTACTTGTCTATAGAATCAATTTTTTTGGAGCACCATATATAGCAAGAAGCAAGCGAATTCCACTTGTGATGATGACTTGTGGAGAAGAGTCAATCTTTTTGAATACGTCTGCGCAATCAATTAAATCATTACGTGTTTCAATTTATATGGGCGAAACCCGTTACAATATTTTTATTAAATTGGGCCTCCTATGATGTATACCGGCCGAGTATGTGTGCATATTAGTATTTTCGATGTTTGAAATCGCCATATCTCAGGAATGGTGGTTCGTAAGAAAAAGTATAAGAACCATTATTGTAGAAAATTTAATGGTCTACAACATTTGTTTAAGGTACTTTTGCGATAGCGCTTACCGTTTAGGAGAAAAAAAGCAAAAAAACATATTTTTGACCTTTGACCTTAAATACTTTTTTTAGCAGACGTGGGGGAGCGGTGGGGACTTTTCAGATATCATTTATAATAATGTATTTAAGACCTGTACCAATTTTCAGCTCTATGCGAATTATTGTTATTTAACCCCCTTTTTTTGTTTATTTTGACTGGGGTATTTACCAATCAGACGATTCTTTTACTAATCATATTATTAATTTACTAGTTGAAGCCTGGCGCATCCGCCACGACATCGACATAAGGAAAAAAATACTTTTTTTTTTAATTAAATGAAAAAACAAAAAAATCGGCGACGGCAGTTTTTAGAAGAGCCAATTAGCTATCTTTTAGTATTTTTTAACTTTCTAGAGCAAGTCGTTACTTCAGTAGAGACGACACAGATAAACATTAGCATTTTATATATGTATATTGTAGATACAGATGAGACTAAAACCACATAAAATAAAACAGTTAATTTTCAGAACAACTACAAATACTCAAAAATATGTTTCTTCTTTATAAAATTTAACCGATTTTGTAGTGCTTTATACAGGGTGGTCCGAACTGTATGCCGGAAACTTCGGCAGCATTCTCTGCAGATAAAAATAAGTAAAAATGTTGATATAAATATATGTTCTAAAATGCTTAGTTTTAGAGATACAGGGTGTAGAAATTTCATTTTTATTTCGATTTTTTCCAAATAATTTCTGAAGTAATGTCAATATTTGGATGAAAATGGGCGTCTGGAAGTTTTTTTGACACGAGAAATTTGATTTTGATGTCAATATGACTTCTATTTGTAGGGGGCGTCATCTATATGTGTTTTAACTGTTTTGAAGAGTAATAACTTTTCGTCCCTACCTGTATAAAACTACCGAATGAAAAAAATATAGATTTACGACGTTTTTTACTTAAAAAAGGTCTCTTGGTAAAAATCGCTACGAGTATTGGTTATCTAGATATTTGGAATAGAAATTATCAATACCTGTCATCATTGACATAAATTAAACGTGTTGACTAAATAGTTATTAGACTGCAAAATAAATTTAAAATGTTTTTGTATCCAAAATTCAACAGACACTGTTTTATGATGATTTTTTCGCAGAAAAATATATGATTAATTTTAAAAACTAAAAATTTTCTAAATTTGCGGGTGCTCGCAGTGATCTTTATCAAGAAACTTTTTTAACTTAAAAGGTCACGAAAATGTATATTTTTTTACTAGGTAGTTTTATACAGGTACGGACGAAAAGTTATTACTCTTCAAAACAGTTAAAACATATGTAGGTGACGACCCCTACAAATAGGAGTCATATTGACATCAAAATCAAATTTCTCATGTCAAAAAACTCCCAGACGCCCATTTTTACCCAAATATTGACGTTACTTCACAAATTAAAACGAAAAAAATCGAAATAAAAATGAAACTTCTACACCCTGTATCTCCAAAACTAAGCATTTTAGGACATACATTTATACGAACTTTTTTACTTATTTTTATCTGCATGATATGCTGCCAAAGTTTCGGAATACAGTTCGGACCACCCTGTATGTATCCATTACAGATAGATGTCATCGATTATATGGTCAGAAAGTAGAGCCTGCAAGACAAAGACTACTTATTAACTGCAAGAACTAGAACAAAGGAGTCTTGGTCTCAGACTTGCATTTGCTCATCACTAACTATGGTGGCGTACTGTATCTTTCAGTATATTATTTAGGATAATATATACAGGGTGGTCCGAACTATATTCAGGAAATTTCGATTTTTTCAAATAATTTCTGAAGTAGTCAGTCAAAATTTAGAAGAAAATTGATGTCCGGAAGTTTTTTTACATAAGAAATTTGATTTTGATGTCTATATGACTCCTATTTGTAGGGGACGCCACCTACATGAGTTTTAACTGTTTTGAAGAGTAATAACTTTTCGTCTGAACCTGTATAAAACTACCGGGTTGAAAAATATACATTTCAGTGATTTTTTACGTAAAAAATGTCTCTTGTTAAAAATCGCTACGAGCAACCGTTCTCAAGATATTTAGAATGGAAATAGTCAATGCATTATTGACAAAAACTAAACAGGCCGAATATAGATAGTTATTTGATCGAGATCGATCGAGAAAAATTTGGGAACATTTTAGTTTTTTTTAAATTAATCATAAATTTTTCTTCGAAAAAATGATGATGAAACAGTTTGTGTTGAACTTTTGGCACAAAAATATTTCAAATTACTGATTTCAGTCTAATAACTATTTATATAGTCAACATGTTTAATTTATATCATTGACGACAGGTATTGATAATTTGGATACAAAATATCTCGAGAACCATGAGCCGTAGCGATTATTACCGAGAGACTTTTTCTACGTAAAAAACGTCAAAAATCAGTTCAAAAATATTTAGGTGGCGCCCTCTACAAGTAGGAGTCATTTTGATATCAAAATCAAATTTCTCATGTCAAAGAACTCCCAAACACCAATTTTTATCCAAATATTGACGTTACTTCAGAAATTATTTGGAAAAAATCGAAATAAAAATGAAACTTCTACACCCTATATCTCCGAAACTAAGCATTTTAGAACATATATTTATAGGAACTTTTTTACTTATTTTATCTGCAGAATATGCTGCTGAAGTTTCCGGAATACAGTTCGGACCACCTTGTATACAGGGTGACTGAAGTCTTGATCATCTGCTGATGATGCTAACATGGTTAGCGAAACGCGCCTCCAGTGTAAAAGTAAAAGTGTTTTGGTGTATTGTGGTGATTTAGTGTTTTATTTTGCTGTGTAACACCAAAGGTTCCAATCCCCAACTGTAATCACTGACATAAATAAAACGACTAAATAGTTATTAGACTGAAATCATAAATCTGAAATGTTTTTGTGCCAAAAGTTCAACAGAAACTGTTTTATCATCATTTTTTGGAAGAAAAAATTATGATAAATTTAAAAAAATAAAAAGTTCCTAAATTTATAATTTCAGTCAAAGAACTATCTACTCAACATGTTTATTTTTAGATAATAATGACATGTATTGACTATTTCCATTCTAAATATCTTGAGAACGGCTGCTCGTAGCGATTTTAATCAAGAGACATTTTTTACGTATAAAATTACGAAAATGTATATTTTTTCACTTAGAAGTTTTATACAGGTACGGACGAAAAGTTATTACTCTGCAAATCAGTTAAAACACATGTAGGTGGCGCCCTTTATAAATAGGAGCCCTTTAGGAGCCATATTGACATCAAAATCAAATTTCTCATGTCAAAAAACTTCCAGACGCCAATTTTCATCGAACTATTGACGGTACTTCAGAAATTATTTGGAAAAAATCGAAATAAAAATGAAACTTCTACACCCTGTATCACCGAAACTAAGCATTTAGAACATACATTTATAGTAAATTTTTACTTATTTTATCTGCAGAATATGCTGCTAAACTTTCTGAAATACAGTTCGGACCACCCTGTATATATTATAACAACAGAGAACCACACTGAATTTACTTTCTTACCAATTTTGAGTCCATTGAGTTCAAACTCCGCACTAATGATTTGTTCTTCTGACCATTGGGGATCGTGATTGGCGTCGTCCTTAAAGAAAGTTTCGTGTTTCACTGGAGCAAAACGGTAGCCCTCTTTCACTCCGGGGTGTCTTTTTAGGAAAGAACCCGTCGCCAGTCTTCTGGTGACCCATTCTATAGGGATCATCTCGCATTTTCGAGATACAAACGCTGTTTCGGTTGCCTGTCGAACAAAGGCAGTAGGGACACCTATAATAATCAGAAAAACAATAAACCTAACTATACAGGATGCTACAAATTCGAGGTACGAGCATTGGTATCTCAGAAACCGTAATAGATACGAAGATGGTTAAATTGGGGCAAAGTTGCGTTTTGAGATGTTCACCAAGATGCCATCAAAAAAGTTTTACAAATATCAAGGATTGCTGAGTTTTTTGGAACTAAATACATCACTAGTAACGCAATTTACAAATACGAAGATCGAGAAGAACAACAAGGAGAAGTATTTGAAGGTTATGAATCAGACTGTAAATTTCTATTTTTTTTTATTTCCATCGCTTTTATAATTTCCAATCCTTACTAATATATTTTATTCTGCAATTAGGCCAGTCATCTAAGACATTTTAAAAGGCAAACATCGCAAACGGGACTGTATCTACCATTTTTTAATATATTGTTAGGACTCATGAGACTAAGTTATGCCCAATTTTGCAACCCTCAAAACCCTGTGCTACTCCCGTGATACTAAAAAAATCTCAAAATTTTGGTACTTATTTCAGTTTTTTATGTTATTTTTTAGTGATTTTTATATGTTAAAGCATTTTTCAAATTTAATTGTTATATACTTTTATAAAGTCAACTAAATTTCCTACGATTTAAGCCCAACCCGAACCCTCTAGGCCAATTCCTTGTCGAAATACAGCCAATCAAATATCGACTATTTTTTTGAAAAACTAAAAATGTATGAGTACGGTCACATTCGAAAGCACGTATCCCCTAAATTAATGGCTCAAGAGAAAAGTCATGAGGAATAAAGGTGTAGAGAATTTATTCAGCTTTAATTTGATGTAAGGGCCGCTAGGTATCGTCGTATTTTCCTCAAAAACGAAAAAATTGTTCACTGAAGAAGGAATACGCAAGGGTACTATCTTCCTTCTATTCAGCATTTACTCTCTCTCTTTGGTCCGTTTCCCTGAAGAGGGATTAGTGACTATGATGTTCCTGTAGCGGTTTTTATCGTATTGTGCCAGTCCGCTCTGTTTTGAGCCATGCTGACGGTTTCATGAAGGCCTTGGCCCATTAGGTCTTTAGTTTGATCAACCCATCTCTTGGGTGATCTTCCTCGTGGTCGCTTTCCCTCTACCTTTCCCTCGACTATTAGCAGCTGCAGTGAGTCCGTTCTTCTAGCAATGTGACCAATATATGTCAGAAAACATCGGTTTATTTTTTTCAGCATTTACACCGCTCGCTAAAACATTATCCCAGGAAACAAGGCGTTCACAGTGGTCCATGGTGGTTACCTCCTGCACAAGGTAGTCTGGCATCAAAATCATTCAGTCAGAGATATTGTGGCTGGATATGTCAGCTACGTTTTAAACAACTTTGGTAAAAATGTTGCAGTAGTTTTTGATGGATACCCAGAAGATGCGGCTATGAAACACACTAAATCAGCTGAACGTCTGCGGCGATCTGCTTCTCTTTCCTGTGGTGACATTTTGTTTGATGAAGAGTTTAATGACACTCATCAAAGTGCCTCAAGCAAAAGTGCTCTCAAATGAATCGAACAAACGCCGACTGATCACCATGATGTGTACCCAATTTGAGACAGGCTATCGAGGTACATCAATCACCAGAAGACGCCGATGCTGAGATAGTAAGAACTGCCCTCTCCAAGAGCTCATCGTACCACCAAGTTTTTATCATGGGGGAGGATGTTGATTTACTGGTCCTCCTAAATGGCTTGAGCTGTGGAAAAACAAACGTCTACTTCCAGAACGGTGGCAGAGGTGGATCTGAGTGCGCTCAATATGAGGCAAATTCTTCTTAAGTGGAAAAATGCAGCTTCCAGGAGAGATGGTTTTGTTTTTGCATGCAATCAGTGGGTGTGACACCAGTTCTGCTCTTTTCTGGCAAGGCAAAATGAAGCAGTGCGAATGTCTACAAAAAAATTCCCACCTCACCACCATTTTTCTTTGATCCAAACTCGACGCAGGAAGAAGTAGGAAATGCTGGCGAGAAGATTTCGTTCAACCTCTATGGAGGGGATCAGGGCACGCTGAACAGCATGCGATACTTGACATTCGTAAAATCGACAGGAATGGCCAAAATAAACCTTGCCCGCCTCCCCCCAACTACAGAAGCTGCCAAATATCATTTCTGGAGAACCTACCACCAGGTTCAAAAATAGTTGGGGGTCGAGAAAAATCCATCCGACTGGCGATGGACCAATAACTATGCGTGCAGAGCCCGCCCCTCAAAACCTGCTTAAGATGGTTGCTTGCAGATGCAAGAAAGGCTGCATGGGATCCTGCACTTGCAGAAAAGCAGGACTGAAGTGCTCCATCCTCTGTTCCTTTTACCCAGGGCGAAGCTGCTGCAACGTTGCTCCCATCATCTTGGATGAGGAGGACGAGGAATTGGAGGATTTAACATATGAGGACCCACCTCCATCGTCAGATCGTAACGATGTCCTTCCTGCTCCTCCTCCCCCCTCTCCGACTGATCCGGAATGGATGGGGCCCGGTCTTTCTAAGAGGGCCAAATAAAGTAGGGCTTTTGTATTATATTTTATAGTTTATACATTTATATTTATGTTGTTTATTTTTAATTACGTTTAGTAAAATATGTTTTCATGATACCCCCCAAACTTCGATGTTTTACTATATTTTGGTTTTTGAGCAAAATCCGACATCTCACGACATTCATTCTTACATCAAATTAAAGTTGAATAAATTCTCTACAACTCTATTTCTATGACTTTTCTCTAGAGCCATTAGTTTAGCCGATACGTGCTTTGGAATGTGACCGTACTCATAAATTTTTAGTTTTTCAAAAAAATTGCCGACATTTGATTGACTGTATTTGAACAACGAATTGGCCTAGAGGGTTCAGGTAGGGCTCAAATTATAAGAAATTTAGTTGACTTTATAAAAGTATAGAACAATTAAATTTGTAAAATGCTTTCTTAACATAGTTTTTTCAAAAAAACTAAAATAAGTACCACAATTTTGGGTTTTTTTGAGTATCACGGGAGTAGCACAGGGTTTTGAGGGTTGCTAAATTGGGTATAAGTTAGTCTCATGGGTCCTAACAATATATAAAAAAATCGTAGATACAGTCCCGTTTGCGATGTGCGATGTCTTAAATGACTGGCCTAAATAGTTTTCAATTAAGCATAATCACGATAGACATGTGGAATAGGCCTACTGGGGAAACCACGTTAAAAAAAACGCGCTAAATATACTACCTCATAGGTGGCGTGGAAACGCGTGCATATTATGACGATTACAACTCTTTGACTCGTTATATCTCAGAAACAGTGGCGAATTTTATGATCTATAATTTTTGTCTGTAGTAATTTTATGATAAAACTTGCCGTTTTGCTGCATTTTTCCAGGCACCGGAATGAATCGGAATTTTAAAATGTTATTTTTATTTATATTTTAAACAATTACAAGCATTTTCAGCTTGTTTGGTTTAATTTGGGTTTTAAAAAATGGCAAAAGGCTGTAGGCTGTAGATCCTATAAAAAAGAACTTGGAAATGTTGTTTAAGTGCATACCTAAAGTATGTAATAGGCCCTATTTCAGGAAAAGATTTTAACTTCTTCAGAGTGGCTCAAAAAAGTATGAGTGGATCGGTATGTTTTTTTTTAAATGGAATATCCTGTATGTAATTGCATTTCTAGCTTCCTTCTTTATCACTTTACATATTTCTAAGATATTGTTAAGTTTATTTTAATTCCAACTTCAAAGATATAAATAAATGAAATAAATATAGAGGGTGGTCCGAACTGTATTCCGTAAACTTCGGCATCATATTCTGCAATTAATAATATGTAAAAAAGTTCGCATAGATGTACGTCCTAAAATGCTTAGTTCCGGAGATACAGAGTGTTGAAGTTTCATTTTTATTTTGATTTTGTCCAAATAATTTCTGAAGTAACGTCTATAGTTGGATGAAAATTGGTGTCTGGGAGAAATTTGATTTGGATGTCAATATGACTTCTACTTGTAGAGGGCGCCACCCAATTTATTTTAACTGGTTTGAAAAGTAATAACTTTTCGTCCGTACCTGTATAAAACAACTGAATAAAAAAATATTATATTTGCGACGTTTTTTAAGTAAAAAAAGTCTCTTGGCAAAAATTGCTACGAGTAATGGTTCTCGAGATATTTGGAATCAAAATTATCAATACTTGTCATCATTAACATAAATTAAACATGTTGACTAAATAGTTATTACTACTGAACTACTTTTTATTACTGAAATTATAAATTTGAAATGTTATTGTGCCAAAAGTTCAACAGACACTGTTTTATCATAATTTTTCGAAAAAAAAATTATGATTAATTTAAAAAAAAAGTTCTCAAATTTTAGTAAAATAACTATCTACTCAACATATTTATTTTTTGTCAATAATGATATGACATCACAATGACAAACATTTCCATTGTAAATATCTTGAGAACGGTTGCTTGTAGCGATTTTTACCGAGGTCATTTTTTACGTAAAAAATCACGGAAATGTATATTTTTCACTCAGCAGTTTTATACAGGTATGGACGAAAAGTTATTACTCTTCAAAACAGTTAAAACACATGTAGGTGGCGCCCCCTACAAATATGAGTACATATTGATGTCTTGATGTCAAAAACAAATTTCTCATATCAAAAAACTCCCAGACACCAATTTTCATCCAAATATTAACGTTACTTCAGAACTTATTTGGAAGCAATCGAAATAAAAGTGAAACTTCTACACCCTGTACCTTCGAAACTAAGTATTTTAGGCCATACATTTATACGAACTTTTATACTTATTTTCATCTACGAAATACGCTGTCGAAGTTTCCGGAATACAGTTCGGACCACCCTCAATATTTTTTAATATTAAAAATATAAGATTTGACCTGAAATCCAAACTATACTAGGTATACTTCTAAGATATACTTACTATAGTTAGTCTGTATTTACTTTATTATAAATATCGGGATCTTAAATCTTACAGGGTGTTCAAACCCCATACTAAACTTTCTGAAATATAAAATATTTTTTCTTCGTTTTGTTAAAAATGAATCCCCTGTATATTATTCTTTTGTTAGAATTAAATAATAAACATTTTTTGTATTTAAAGTATTTTAATTTTTTTAATGCTTTTGAAAATATTCACGATATTATTACATATATTTGATATCGATTAAACTTTTAGTTACATAGTAAAGGGCGCGATTTTTAAATTCATTGTTGCCAACCATAGACATATTCGGTACCGTGCTGACTAACTGGAATTTAAATTTCGCACTGGAGATTCAGGTTGTAGCTCTGCTCAAAAATGTCAAGTTGCCGCATTTATTTATTTATTTCCTGACATTGTCATTCGTTTTGATTCTTAAGTTTTGTATTACGAGTTTTTGGTTTAAATAAATAGTGTTGAGATACCTTAAGCTTAAAAATGTTTACTAGCAGACCTTGCAGTTGAACATAGTTCTTTTTTTTAGAACCTCTTTTAGCGCCAAGTGTACAAGATTGCTTAATAGCCGTAAAAAACGCATCGCAACTTTATTAGAATATTTTGATCGATAAAGCGGTAGTGATGGCCACTTATGTCCCTTAAGTGCTGTTAAGAAGGTGAGTTTTGTTAATGTAAATAATAACTGTTTATATATTTATAATTAATTTATTTTCGTTTCTGAAAATATTTTGATTAAAAGAAAATATATTTATTATTATTATTATTATATAAAAGTGGACAACGTTGTGCCTGTCAAGCTTAATCACGTGTTTAAAAGTTTATTTGGTGTGAACTGTATGGCTCTTTAAATGGTAAAATATCAAACACAAATCATTAGATGGTTGGATAAAAAATTACTCTTCAAAAAACCATATGCAATATTAATGCCGCGAATTCTGCAAAACCGTTAAAAATTTTGAAATACTTTAAATGCAAAAATGTTTATTTATCTTGGTTTTGTATTAATTCCTTTAAAAAAAACTGAAAGATATATATTTTTTATTTATCTATTACTATTAATATCTCTGAGACCATCAAAACATATTAAAAATCTTTGTGTAATGTGATCTGAACGAAAACATTTTCTTGAGGCACTGTAGAAGTTAAAATATTTTCCTGAAATACATCCTAAACAGTTTATCGTTTAGTTTGTTTAATAAAAAAGAGGTTAAAAGTTTTAAAATAAATTGAAAAAATCTATATAAATTTAAAGGCATAGAAAAATGACTAGGACACAGTGTAATATTAGTTGCATACCATATGGTGACTTTCGTGACTTTACTAACAACCGAAGCATAATTGAATTTTGTTTTAATTCAACCCAATTAAAATGTAGTAAAATATAACTTACCAACAGATTTAAGAATATCAAAAACTTTACATGCCGTTTTGTTTGATATTTCGGCTTTGCCTTTCAGATCGTGCTTTTTAACACCATCTCCTGCAGTAATTTTGTCCTTGCTCAGCAGAATACAATGTCCAGGTTCAGATGGAAGATCATAAACTTGCTTCGTTTTGCCTTCGATAATCAAATCACCTAATTTGTATTCGCCAACTGAAATAAAGAAGGATATATTAGAAACTTTTTAAAACACCCTCGTAACATTAGTTAAGTAAAGATGGAAGAACGAGATAGTCATATTGAGCTACAATGTGTTAGAAAAAGATGTTGAAATTGGCAAATGCAACACGTTTTCCTCTAAAAGTATGTAGAAAGCTTTCAAAATTATCTTTAATTGATAAAATAAGATAATAAAAATACTTACTTTGTTTCACGATTTTAGCCATGATAATTGTATATAAAACTAATATTTATTGAAGGAATGCAACACTTTAAAAATTAAAACAAAACTAGGTTAGAATCAACGTGGCTTCTCTAGTGCTCCAATGGCATGCGCTATTTTGAATAAAACCTCCAAATATGAATTAAATGGTTTTATAAGATATTTGCTTCCAAATATTAACAATAACAAATTTCTTAATATATCTGACGCGATAAAATAACAGAACTTTGTATTTTTACCAGAAATTTTGTTTTAATTGTTAATAATTCTATTGACAAATATGGGTCGATTTTGTTTATTTAAATCTTGCTATGATCTATGATTAAAAATGTGTTTAAAATCTTCTAGAAATAAGAATACTCTCAATAGTATTAAAGTATTACATCAGTTTTTGTGCGGTATAAAAATATTTATGTTATTGTAATTTTTTAAATGATTACCTATTAACATACTTATTATTCCAAAAATAGTATACTTTCTTGACAAAAAATATAATAAGTCTTGCGGTCTTGCACTTTATATGATAAGAAAAATAATAGAATAAGAAATTACTTATTTGTTAACACCGTACTCGGCCAGCTTTGGCCGAAAAAAATGGCCCTAAATGGCCGAAAAATTAGCTTTTCGCAAATATCTGCCAAAGTGTGCAATTTATAAAAAATTTCTTGAACAAAAAAAAATGAAGCTTAGGTAATTATCTTTAAAATGGTCCTTATCATTTTTTAAGTAGAATTAGTAGTTTTCGAGATATTCCGCGTCGAACATCCCTGAATTTTCTCTGTCTTACGGCTCCGGAGGTAGATTTTATAAGCGTTTCATTGATTGATAGGACAAATTGTTTAATAACTCGGCTAAAATTTAATATTTTTTGATGATTCAAAATTCACTTAAAAGGTAGAATCAACAGCTATCACATTTTGGAGTTTGTTTGAATTTAGTCATATTTTATGATAATAAAAAAATCGGGCAAAATTCTTTGGCCCAAAAATTTTCAGATTTTTACAAACTTGTTCATATTATCACTAATAATAGCTTATTTGCCAAGATTTTTTTTAATAGTTTTTTAAAGTCTCTTTAAGCAATTCAGAAAGTTTGATGTATAGAAGTAACATATATTTTAATAAAAAAAAACTATTCGTGAGTGGCTTTATCTGCTTTTTTGGAATTTCCGGAAAGTGTTGTAAATAAAAAAAAATGCATAATAACTTTATAAGTACAGTACATCTGCTGGATCTGTGTCTATGAAAGGAATGCGGACAAAAAACATTTAAATAAACAACAATATATTTTATTCGTCGACTTGGTGAGTACGTCACCGCAAATCGCTCCGCCCACTCATTTTATTGGCTACTTGCAAATTTGTCGAATTTTTATTGATGGGACGCGTCGTCTATTTTTTTACGAAAAACATCGAGAGAATATCTTTTCCCCTCTCACGGATACCCCGTAGCTACAGAACGGACAGACGCACAGTGCTTCGTCCCATGGATAAAAATCAAAAGATAAGTTAAAATTTACTAATATCTGAATATATAATTTTATACTTATAGCAATGTTCAACCATCCTGTATATTATTTTTCATAAACAGCGTTTTTGTTAGCAAATATTTTCACTAAAAATAAATTTTGCGATCATTATCTCATCAGTGAAAAGAATAACAGAAGTGTCTAGTCCCAGCCGTCAACTATTAAGCTTGACCAATCAGGTTGGTTAGCGTGGTTATTTGGAGTGTGTTAATTCATTTGTGTTTGTCAAAAACTCTAACGTGATTGGTCGGGCTTAACAGTTGCCTGCTAGGGCTAGACACAAGTAAGAATAACATTCATAGTAGTTCTGTATATTATGGAGTTAAACGGGTACGTACTTAATTGAAAGCCACTATGGATATTGTTAAACAAGGTATGTTCTTTAAATTTATTTCTAAACAAGTTCGTGATTGTTTAGTTTTTATTTATTTTTTAAGATGATTCTTAAATGGGTATAAAAATTTTACGTTTTCAAACTTCAAAAAGGCATTTAAAAAAAACATATCAAAACATATCGTATTTATTGAATATTTTTGTTGCCATATTCATACACTTTAAATTTTGTATAGTTCACCTGCGTCTGCTTGCGACGAACTTTATTTTATAATACTTTTCAGATGGAGTAATATTGATAAGCAATGCCGATCTGGCTAATACTTGGCTTGATCATAAGGACAAGAACTCAAAATTATTTGTATTTCAAAAAATATGTTCTTATTAGATATTGATGAACCTTCCAGTCAAATGAGACACCACTGGTGCCTGAAAAAGTCCACTATGTTGGAGCGAAACGTCGCATAAAAAAAGTGTCCATCTTTCAATTTATTATATAATCTCATACCCAAGAAAAGGAAAAAATAATATATGGATATGCTGTATTAAAGAGGTAACTATTAACATCCGAACCCCTCATAGCGACAAAATGAACAGTAACAACGCGAAAAAGTAACATATTAGAAAATGATGTACAGAAATATCTTATATGTGAGGATACTTCATCTACCTGATTTGGATACTATAAATTTGGAAGATTCTGTCAGCAGTAATTCTTCTGAATCAAAGTAGTTACGATCTATGCATTTTGTTGTCCTAAAGTAAATTTATAGTATCTTAAGTTTTTTTTTTAATTAAATATAACATTAATGTTTCTTTTTCATTAAACAAAAACATTTTTATCTTATCTTACGTATTAGGCTTATATTGTAGGAATCATGTTCTAATGTTATTTCAATTCTTTTTTATCACAGGAATTTATTTAATACTTACACCGTTTTCATACTATAAATTATTATTTGCTTAGATGGAACACAGCTCCAATATTTTTATTATTTATAAGATTTTTTTTTCATAAACGTGGGACTAAGAACATCATCATTTAGTACAATGAGAGTACTCATCATTTGTGTCAAATAAACCTAGTTTGAATAAATTGCTTACAATAAAAGAGAAGTTTTGGATTTTTGTCCTCTAGAGCCATATGTTCGAAGCACTGTGAGACGTACTGTAACAAACATCAATGAGGAGTTGGAAATCAATGATAAAAGTTCAAAATTACCTGCAATATCTTGCAACTCTTTAAGAGTAGATTGTTCTTGTCCATTTTCTCGGATATAATGGACTACCTTCACCATTTGGTCTGAAATATCAATATCAGCATCCAAGGGACGTCCTAGGGAACATGGATTATAAAATTGCGTATGTCAATGCTTGTGATATTTGGCACCCGTACAAAAAAACAATCTTGATTCCCAATTCTGCTTTTTTTCGATTTATTATTTTAGCGATTCGAATGAAATATGTTGTTAAATAAGAAAAGTGTCGACAGATTCACCAGAGACGTGCATATGGGATGGGTTGCTGGACTATATTCTTCTAAAAAATATGTGCACTACTGATTCTTTTCCTCTTATATTAGCAAAAGTATGTAGGCCATTTAATGGCCGGTTAAAAGTTGTACAGTACGTCTGTCCGTTCTGTGGCTACGGGCTACGGGGTATCCGTGAGAGGGGAAACTATATTCTCTCGATGTTTTTCGTAAAAATTTAGACGACGCCTCCCATCAATAAAAATTCGACCAATTTGCAAGTAGCCAATAAAATGAGTGGGCGGAGCGATTTGCGGTGACGTACTCGTCAAGTCGACGTATAAAATATATTGCTGTTTATTATATTATATTATATATTGCAGCAGATGAACTGTATCTTGATATTTTGTTGAAGCGGCAACAACATCGCCGGTAGAGCTATTGTACTAAAAATGTAAAGTACGTCTGATGGATCTGTGTCTATGAAAGGAATGCGGACAAAAAACATTTAAATAAACAGCAATATATTTTATACGTCGACTTGACGAGTACGTCACCGCAAATCGCTCCGCCCACTCATTTTATTGGCTACTTGCAAATTTGTCGAATTTTTATTGATGGGACGCGTCGTCTAATTTTTTACGAAAAACATCAAGAGAATATCGTTTCCCCTCTCACGAATACTCCGTAGCTACAGAACGAATAGGCGTACTGTATAGGTACCTATAATCATAAAACCATAGAGTTAAAAATTAAAGATAAAACACAGAGGGGTTTCCGTTTGAAAGAGCGGAGAAACATCATATCTACAGTACATCTGCTGGATCTGTGTCTATGAAAGGAATGTGGACAAAAAACATTTAAATAAACAGCAATATATTTTATACGTCGATTTGACGAGTGCGTCACCGCAAATCGTTCCGCCCACTCATTTTATTGGCTACTTGCAAATTTGTTAAATTTTTATTGATGGGACGCGTCGTCTGTTTTTTTTACGAAAAACATCGAGAGAATATCGTTTCCCCTCTCACGGATACCCCGTAGCTACAGAACGGACAGACGTACTGTATATATAGTTTTGACTTGCCTCGTATATACAAAATATAATTATTATAATTTAGAATTATTAGTTATAAACAAGACACTCATAATGTAATACTTCCAGTTGAAAAATATCAATAATTTGCATTTAAAAAATTGGCGCCGGGAGGCACGTATAGCCGCCCATACTAAAATATGATAATATCTCGAAAACTGCGACTTTGACTGATTTTGATGTTATTACAAATTTTGTTGCAAATATTATTCCTAATCTCAATTTGAAAACCGCGTTTCGCTAGCTACTGTAATTTTGGTTTGGTTGTTACGATTTTTTTAAACTTTTAACCCCCTCCCATACCCACTTACCAACCCCCCACCCCCACCAAAAACTAATGGCCAGATTCTCGTGTGCCACAGTATTTTTGTGCCAAATTTGGTTAAAATCGGTTCAGCGGTTTTGGAGTTATCGTGTTACAGACAGACAGATAGACACCATGAAAATATTTTGTATTTAGGCCATTTATGACCCAAATAACTCATTTTGAGTGAAATTAAAAAAACTTTTTTTTTGCCGACCTTAATACCTATTGGTATGGTCGGCTAAAAAATATCGAATATCGAATATAGAATGCAAATATCAATAATTTGCATTCTTTTAGAAAATTTAATCTAAAAATTGCAATATTTCAAAAAACCCTCTCTTCATTACATTAGGACATAATCGATATTTTTGGAATGGAAATTTTGTGACAAATTCAATCAATGTTTCGGAAAGAGTTCTATTTAAACAACTAAAGATATTTAAACTCGGTTAGGTTAGGTTGTAGTTGAGTTTAAATATCTTTGTAAACAACACTACAATTTTAGTCTAAAACTATGTTGAGTCATTCTGTATATCTATGAAAAAAAAAATTACAATGTAAGCTAAAGTCTGTTCAGCCAGAAGATACTACTTGACAGTGACAGTTAATATCTGTCATTTTAATTTACGGGTAAATTCAATGTTCTGTCATTTTTTTGATGTCGTCTGTCGAAATATTCTCTGGCTTGTTGGGTAGACAAACGATCTTACAAACAAAATCGGATGTTTGATTTTTGACATTTGCCTGAATTTTCTAACATTTTTATAATTATTTTCTGGAAAATTTGAAAATTTTTATAAAAAAATTGCCATAAACCAACAGCACAAAAAATTATATAATCACGCGATCTCCAAATCCAAATACCATTATACATACTTTTTTGTATATGTGTTAAAAAAAACATTAGGCTTTTTTAATTAGCTCTAAATAATATTTTTCCTACATTAACAGCTTTAATCTTATTACCACTTAGAAGAATAGGTATATACAGGGTGGCCATGCAAATCTATCGAAAAATATTCTAGCTATCTCTTTTGCTACAGATTTAAAACTAAACAATTTAAAAATATTTTTAAAATACATAATTGTGAGTTATTGCTCTCTCATTGAAAATCTTGATGCATCATAAATTCACAAATTAATTCATGATGCATCAAAACGATTCAATGATAGAACGATGAGAGACTTTTTTCATAATATGTATTTGGCCTGAGTGCCTGAGGACTTGGTCTGCGCATAATACCAAGTGTGTGGTATCAAATTATTCGTAAAAAAATGTTTTTTTCCAAAAAATATGCTAATGAGCCACTCTCGTTCCATTTGAAAAAGTTGAGTTATAATTAAAAATATGATTTGGGCATCTTTTAACTGACCCGGACAAGACGCTAAAAACATTAGTTATAGACGATCAAATATATTTTTCCAAAGTTCCTTGATTAAAAATTAGCGGTTTTAACATAGAGAATGTCAAAAGTTGACATATGATATGTCATTCTATTCAGTGTCATTTTCTATCGAATAAATTAAAAAATACCAAAGATGCTATTTAAAAACCAAGAGTTGTAGTCATTTCCGGTGCAATAGTAAGGGACCGAAAACAATTGAATACGTCAATCGAGGGGTAAACCGCAGAGGGAAAAGTGTACACCGTAATTCCTTTTACTCAAATAATTCCTCAGAATTCCTCGTAATTCCTTCGGAATTCCTTGGAATTCCTGGTCTTCAAGGTCAAGGTCAATCATTCAAGGTCTTCCTTGGAATTCCTTGGTACGAACTCGGTAACTCTTTCAGTCTGAACCAGCGTTGCCACCTCGGTTTCGCAGTTCCGCTATGAATTTTCTGGTGATTTTATAAATGTCTAATGTCTCTATAAGTACTAGATCTAACAATAAAAAGTACTATTACGAGATTTACGTTTTTTTAGTTAAATTTTAGGACTAATAGGGGATCATGAGGTAAAAATACTGGAAATATGTCGGCACTTACTTATTAAAATTAATTTTTCTCGGGATTTTTTGAAAATGATAGGTACCTAGTTATACTCGTATCTATAGGAAGGGAAATTAATAAAACTTCAGTTGCACGTCATAATACGATCACCAGTAAATTCCATAAGATTACGCATGGTATCATTGATGAAGTGCACCTAAAGTTGTATTAATTTCCCTATAGTATATACCTAGGTATTATTCCGAGGAAATGAAAAAATCAACTTTACACTTTCTGAGTACTGAATAAAAAAATCTTATGAGGGTTTCTTAAAAATAGTTATAGGTAGATCGTTATAAGTAGATCTCTCGGGGGTGGTTCGGCCGTACTATTGGAACATATTTTAGATATATAATCGAGGGTACAATATTAAATTAAAAGAATATCTAACCTGTAGATATTTGATATTGGGAAATTTTGGAAGCGAAAACGAAAAACGGATAGCAAAAAATCGCCTGCAAAACGTTTTTCTTTAAATTTAGTACTACCTATTATAGTATTCATGGTTTACTAATGTTCGTTAATTTTTTATAAAGCTGCTTGTAATTCCTCTTAATTCCTGTGGAATTCCTCTAAATTTCTAAGGAATTCCTTGGAATTCATTGGAATTCTTACGGAAATAATTGGAATTCATAGTAATTCCTATGGAATTCCTTGGAATTCCTCGTAATTCCTTGGAATTCCTGTAGAATTCCTTCATAGTGTACACCATAATTCCTCTGCGGTTTACCCCTCGACGTCAATCAATCCTAATTTATGTCATATACTAACATACAGTACATCTGCTGGATCTGTGTCTATGAAAGGAATGCGGACAAAAAAACATTTAAATATACAGACATACATATATTTTATACGTCGACTTGACGAGTACGTACCGCTAATCGCTCCGCCCACTCATTTTATTGGCTACTTGTAAATTTGTCGAATTTTTATTGATGGGAGGCGTCGTCTAATTTTTTACGAAAAACATCGAGATAATATCGTTTCCCCTCTCACGGATACCTCGTAGCTACAGAACGGACAGACGAATATATATAGAAATAGAAAAATACATGTCTTTTGACTGACCTTATATACAGGGTGGTCCGGAAACTTCGGCAGCATATTCTGCAGATCAAAATAAGTAAAAAAGTTCCTATAAATGTATGTCCTAAAATGCTTAGTTTCGGATATACAGGGTGTAGAAGTTTAATTTTTATTTCGATTTTTTCCAAATTAATTTCTGCAGTAACGTCAATATTTGGATGAAATAATAATAAAAATGAATTGGTGTCTGGGAGTTTTTTGACATGAGAAATTTGATTTTGATGTCCTACTAGTAGAGGGCGCCACCTACATATTTTTTAACTGGTTGAAGAGTAATAACTTTTCGTCCGTACCTGTATAAAACTACTGAGTAAAAAAATATACATTTACCACGTTTTTTAAATAAAAAATGTCTCTTGGTAAAAATTGCTATTTACGAGTATTGGTTTTCTAGATATTTGGAATCGAAATTATCAATACCTGTCATCATTGACATAAAATAAACATGTTGACTAAATAGTTATTAGATTAGACTGAGATCATAAATTTGAAAGTTTTTGTGCCAAAAGTTCAACAGAAACTGTTTTATCATAATTCTATTGCAGAAAAATTTATGATTAATTTAAAAAAATAAAAATTTCCCAAATTTATTATTGCAGTGAAATAACTATCTACTCAACGTGTTTATTTTTTGTCAATAATGACATTTATTGACTATATTCATTCTAAATATCTTGAGAACGGTTGCTCGTAGCGATTTACAAAGAGATATTTTTTGCGTAAAAAGTTGCAGAGATGTATATTTTTCCCTCTGTAGTTTTATATAGGTACGGACAAAAAGTTATTGCTCTTCAAAAGAGTTAAAATATATGTAGGTGGCGCCCTCTACCAGTAGGAGTCATAATGACATCAAAATCAAATTTCTCATGTCAAAAAACTTCTAGACACCAATTTTCATCCAAATATTGACGTTACTTCAGAAATTATTTTTACACCCTGTATCTCTAAACTACACTTTAGGACATACACTAATACGACGTTTTTTACTTAATTTTATCTGCAGAATATGCTGCCGAAGTTTCCAGAATACAGTTCGGACCACCCTGTATAGGTTCATACCTAGCAACGATAAATCTTTATAAATAGTTCAAAAATTACATATTTGTTTCTTTGAGGTTTACTCTGAAGAATAACAATGTCGAAAGAACCTAAATATTTCTGTATTTACAATAAACATGTCTGACGAAAATGCACATGTAGTACAACGTTTTGAAACGATCGTCATCAGAGCACATGATAGAAAAACACAGCAGGGGGTTATCAGTATTATAATACAGAAAACAAATTTAATTTAAAACAAATAAGTGAATTGTGCAAACCAATAACTATCAGATTTATATAGAGAGGAGCCTACAAATAATATGGTCAATCCTTCTCAGACCACTGTACGATAAACTATTGAGTATTTGGTCTTGTTATTCTTATTCTAATATAATTTTAGTTGATTATGTCTAATTCTCACAAAGAAAGTACTAATTCTGTAAATGTTAATGGTAGTAATGTTGTGTATGATGTTGCTGAAGGCTCTGTTGGCTATGAAAAACGAAAAAATAGGGGCGCAACATCATCGGGGTTAACTCACGAATGTGGAGTTTTTGGGGCCATAGGCACTGGCGATTGGCCCACGCAACTAGATATAGCACAGATAATAGCATGGGGTTTGGTTGCTTTACAACACAGGTGAGTACCAACTACTGTCTTTTTTGATACTACCTAAATAGGGCCCTGATCTTTCATCTTCGATTATTTGGAACCGATTATGCTATATCGAAACTGATAAGAGATTTTTCTTCTTTTAATTTTTGTTTAATCCATTATGGTGTCAGTTTATAAGATTATATTATTATATTATACGATATAGAACCTTTCAAAATTCAACTTCAAAAGCTCTTTACTAAGCGTAATTTTTATTTAAAATACAGGGTGTCCCAGAAATAAGTGCAAGTATTTTAACTGGTAGCATAGTTCAACCCCAGAAACACGCCTATGAGGTCTTTTTCGCGAAAAATTTTTTTTTGAAAAATCGAGATTTTTTGAAAATTTTTTTGGATTTTTTTTAATTTTTTAATTAAAAAACATAATTTCTTGATAATATGGCAACATAGGTATTAGATTAAATTTACAAGTAAGAAAATTCAAAAAAGATCGAGGGGTTCTCAAAATTTTAGCTTAGATTAAAATCATTTTTTTTTGGAAATTTTCAAAATAAAATAACTCCGTTATTTTGGACTTATTTGAAAAACGATAAAGAGAAAATATGTTTTTTTTATCGAGATCTACCACCCCTTAAAATACTTGCACTTATTTCTGGGACACCCTGTATAAGGAGGTCCGAACTGTATTCCGGAAATTTTGGCCAGCGTATTCTGCAGATAAAAATAAGTAAAAAAGTTCTTATAAATGTGTGTCCTAAAATGCTTAGTTTTGGAGATAAGGGTGTAGAAGTTTTATTTTTATTTCAATCTTTTCCAAATCATTTCTGAAGTAACGTCCATATTTGAATGGAAATTGGTATCCGGGAGTTTTTTGACATGAGAAATTTGATTTTGATCTCAATATGACTCCTGCTGGTAGAGAACGCCACCTACATATTTTTAACAGGTTTGAAGAGTAATAACTTTTCGTCCGTACCTATATAGAACTACTGAGTAAAAAAATATACATTTACGACGTTTTTTACGTAAAAAGGTCTCTTGGTAAAAATCGCTACATAGCATATGATTTTAAGGCCCATTTTTTAACAGTACACAGGAATAGACCCACTTTTACAGTATTTTTTTTAATTAAATATTGTTAATTAAAGTATTAAAAACCGTATTTTCTGTAAGATATTGTCGTATTTTTTCTCTTTAGAATTTACTGTCGTACTTGAGATGCCCCGGTATAATATTTTCTCTATACCATTTTGAAAAAAAGTCCAAAATAGACGAGCTATTTTACTATGTAAAATGTAATGGTTTAATTCACTTGACTCGTTCAAACGCACCTTTACTGTGAATTACACTATAGCCAATATCCAGCGAAAAACCGGTGGTTATGGTTTCGGTAGACAACTAACGTTTAAAGCATTATTTATCTGTCAACCATAACTATCGGTTGTTCGCTCGAAATTGGCTTATTCAACTATATTTGGTTAGTTCAATTATTTTTTTAATATGTCTTTATTACCCAAATAATACTTGATATTGTATCCAGAGGTCAGGAATCGGCAGGCATAGTTACAAGCGAAGGAATCTCATCCAGACACTTCAACGTGGTCAAGGGTATGGGCTTAGTTAATAATATATTCACGGACGATTCAGTGAGGAGATTGCGTGGCAGCTTGGGCATTGGCCATACCAGATATTCTACGTCGGCAGCTTCGGAGGAAGTCAACTGTCAGCCCTTTGTAGTTCATACTTGTCACGGAGTACTGGCAGTGGCCCACAATGGAGAACTTGTCAATTGCGACAGTCTAAGAAGACAGGTAGGTATCTACAGTTTATAGACCTTATGTTTTATTTGTTTAGTCAAAACGTACCAAGTTAAACCTTATTTAAATGTTTATATTTTGTGAAGTACCACCTTTACTCAAATTCGATATTTATTGAGTAATTCTCGTATTTTAAGTCTAATACTCCGCCTAGACATAAATTTTTACTTTAGTCTTACTTGTTCGGCCAAAATGAATCAAGTAAAATGTTTACTTTATTACTTTTTATCTACGCACACATGTTTTATACTTGATTCGTTTTGACTGAATAGCCACAGAAGAAGAAATAGAATAGCTTTTGGGCTTCAGTGTGTATCAAAAAGTGTACTCTACCGGGTGCGTCTCAAAAATGGCTCACCCCTATAACTTTTTTATTTCTTCAGATAAAGAAACAAGATTTGGTATGCTAGTATATTACATAAATTAGGATTGATTGACGTATTCAATTCTTTTCGGTTTCACAGAAAATAACTGCAACTTTTGATTTTTAAATGGAACCCTTGGTATTTTTTACTTTATTCGATAGAAAATGACACTCTGAATAGAATGACATATCGTATGACAACTTTTGACATTTTCGCTTAAAACAAAATTGTATTTTAAATTTCAAGCTAGAGTCCCATGGTTGTGTTAAAACACTAATTTTTAATCAATGAGCCTTGGAAAATATAGTTGATATTCTAATGTTTTTAGTGTCTTGTCCTGGCCGTTTAAAATATGCCCAAATCGTATTTTTAATCATATCTCAATTTTTTCGACTAGAACGAGGGTGGCTCATTAGCATATTTGGACAAATCATTTTTTACGAATAATTTGGTGCCACACACTTGGTATTTCGAGTCAAATTATCGTTATGAATCGCATGTTGCAATTTCAAATAAATAACCATAATCGAAAATGTCAAAAGTTGACATATGATATGTCATTCTATTCAGAGTGTCATTTTCTATCGAATAAAGTAACATAATACCGAGGGTGCAATTTAATAATCAAAAGTTGTAATCATTTCCGGTGAAACAGGAATTGATCGAAAACAATTGAATACGTCAATCAATCCTAATTTATGTCATTTACTAACATAAATCTCGAATTTTTATCTGAAAAAATAAAAAAGTTGTATTTGAAATACTGTAGAAAAAAATATAGTGTTGACACATATGGCATTTTGTTTTGACTTAGCCTGTATATATTGAACTTATAGTGATTTTAATATGATTTATTAAAAAATCGCCATTATAAAATATTTTTTAATCTTGGGAGAGCTATACAGGGTGAGCCTTAAATAAGTGCAAATGTTTTCAGGGCTGGTAGATCTCGATAAAAGAAACATATTTTCTCTTTACCGTTTTTCAAATAAGTCCAAAATAACCGAGTTATTTACTTTGAAAATTTCCAAAAAAATGATTTTTTGCTTAAATTTTCAGAATCACTGGACTGAACTAAAAAATTACAAACTTTCAAAAAAAAATTACGTGAAAAAAACCTCATATAATCGTGTTTTTTGGTGTTGAAATATACTACTCCTAAAAATATTTGCACTTATTTAAGACTCACCCTGTATAAGTACAGACAATTTAGTTTACTCTTTATTCTTTACACCTTTTTATGGCTTTAGGTGACAAAAAGTAATAAAAAACCCAACAACTAATTATTTTTATCTGTTGTAGCACCCGATATTACTTTATTCTGATAATTTTAATTTTTTATACTAATCTAAATCACTTACCATAATTAATTTGCCTTAATTTTTTAATAATATTTATTTTGTAAAAACAGCTAATAAAATAAAATATTTGTCGAAATATTTTTTTATCATAAAATGAATATTATTAATCAAATTTAAATTAATTTTGTCTTTAATTTTCGACATATTAGTTGATTTCTGATCTTATTTAGATATTACCATTTTAGTGTAAAAAGAAGTTAAGGTCCCTGTTAAAATTTACCCTGTTAAAAATTATTATGTAAAAAAGTGGACTAAAAATCAAACAGGAAACTTCATATAATCATTTTGGTGATTAGTAGTTCACCCTGTATATGATATTAATAATATATTTATACATAGTGCATCTCAAAAGCCGCTCACCCCTATCACTTTTTTATTTTTTCAGATAAAAAAACGAGATTTGGTATGTTAGTATATGACATAAATTAGGATTGATTGACGTATTCAACTGTTTTCGGTCACTTCCTGTTTCACCGTAAAAGACTACAACTTTTGATTTTTAAATAGCACCACCGGTTTTTTTTACTTTATACGATAGAAAATGACACTATAAAGAGAGACATAATATCATATATATATATATATATATATATATATATATATATATATATATATATATATATATATATATATATATATATATATATATATATATATATATATATATATATATATATATATATATATATATATATATATATATATATATATATATATATATATATATATATATATATATATATATATATATATATATATATATATATATATATATATATATATATATATATATATATATATATATCATCTTTTGACATTTTCGTATATGGTTTATTTGAAATTGTAACATGCGGTTCATAACGACAATTTGACACAAAATACCAAGTGTGTTGTATGCTTTCTCCAAATGTGCTAATGAGCCACCCTTGTTCCACTTGAAAAAATTGAGATATGATTAAAATATAATTTGGGCATTTTTTAACCGGGCAAGACAAGGCACGAAAAACATTAGATGATCAAATCTATTTTTCTGAGGCTCCTTGATTAAAAATTAGTGTTTTTAACACAGCCACTAATCTAAATTGAAATTTAAAATACGATTTTTTTTTAAAACGAGAATGTGAAAAGTTGACATATGATATGTCATTCTGTTCAGAGTATCATTAATTATTAGTAAAACAATTGAATACGTCAGTCAATCCTAATTTTTGTCATATATTTAACATACCAAACCTCGTTTTTTTTTATCTTTTTTTGAGACGCACCGGGTATTTATTGCGGTTTTCTCTTTTTGGTTCTCTAAACCCAAAAAAACAAGTATTAAAAATAAATAATCTCTATAATAATATAAACCCCATTAAAATATTTAATGGGGTTCAAGTAAATAAGTGTTGTTTATTGTGTATTTGTATCTTTCTAATATAATCTAATATAATTTTCTTTAAACAAAATATCTACGAGGTAAAAATTAAGTGCTTATATTTCAATAATATTTATCGAATTTGAATAATCTTATTATTTAGCAGAAAAAGTCTGTATATACTTGTTGATATGTACCCTTCAAATACAAATATATTTTGACAAATTTGACAAAACAAACAAACAAAACACAAATCAATTTCTAAAAAAAATATCCTCATTATGAAAATAGCAAATATATTTACAGCAAAACAATAAATATTATTTGGTCTTAATATGAACAAATATATTAGCGAAAGTATTATTAAAATGCATTGGTTTAAGGTATTGGAACATGGAGTAGGCCTTTCCACTCACTCAGACAGCGAGCTCATAACCCAAGCATTGTGTTTGAACCCTCCGGAAGGTGAACCAAACGGTGAACCCGACTGGCCTGCCAGGATAAGGCATTTCATGCAGCTAGCTCCTCTCAGTTACTCCTTGGTCATCATGCTGAAGGATAGGATATACGCAGTGAGGGATCCTTACGGAAACAGGCCTCTGTGTTTAGGAAAAATGCTTGCTTTGCATGAATGTAAGTATAAAAAATAGAGAAAATTATCAAAGCTGAAATAAGTTCTAGAAATTTATAAAAAGTATCTCCAGTCCAGTGTCACAGTAGGTACTCGTGTTTTAATGGAACATTGCATTGCATAGAAACATAGACCCTTAAATATTTCAAGATAGCAAATAAACATCCTTTTTTAAAATTAAATGGCACTAGAGTAGGAGAGCGCCGGGAGGGTTTGGACAATATTTAAATAAATAATTATGACATTGACATAAGTGAGAAGTAACTAAATGTTTGGTGTGAGATCGATTGACTTACACATCTTACATACATATTCCTTTATTTCATTCAAAAAGTATTACAACGTCATGAGTGACAGACACATATACGTACATATGTAATATGTCCAAACCCTCCCTCATAACCGGGAGGGTCTGGACGAAAAAATACATAAGCATGGTTAGCGACAGCAGGAAAATTTTGCTATTCGTTTCGAAACTGCTGGACGTAACTTACGTTGTTACTCCGTTAGTGTATCGTTAGACGTGACCGACATGCCCAAGAAACCATCTGTTTTTAAGATACATTTATTTGATGAACAACATTATTTTTAAAGCAAAAACGAGCAAAACTAATATCTACAAAACGATGAAATCAGCATAAACTGTACTCGGTAAGATCGATATTGAAATAAATCATATCTGCATATCGAGCAGATCGGTCTGTCAAAGCATTCGGTAGTTTCAATATCACTTCGTCGTATGACACCAATGCTGGAGGCTCCTCACTAAATCTAAAACGGTTGGAAGCAACTTGCTTTTTCAAAAATTTTACGTTGTAGCCATCCAGGACAACTTCTTCTATTTTAGCGGCATAATGTCTAACTGATTTTTTTCCAAATACTTTACAAACTATGAAACTCTGGACTTCAAGTTTTGTAAGGTCCTCATCTTCATCATCATCCTGTTCCAAATCCAGGTCTGAGGACGAATCTTTGTGAATGACTTCTTCCTCATCGGAAGAAGAGTCGCTCGTAACTTTTTTCTTTGCCTTCTCTATATTCTTCAGATCAATTTCTGATCTATTTTTCTTTAATTTTTTCTGTGCAATTTCATCGCGTTCTGGAGTATAGGTCGCCACTATGGATTTTCTTTTAGAAGGACCTTTTCTAGATGCTTTTCGTTCTGAAGCTTTTGGATATGGTCTTATTTTGGATGGCGATACAAAATTTTGTTTGTGATGGTCGATTTCAGCTCGAGTTTGGGGCTCCGGTAATGGCTGTGCAGAAGAGGTGGATGGTAATGATGCATCTACATTTTTTTCTAAAACCTTATTTTCTGTTGGAGGTGCTACTCTGTCTGTAACAAACGAGCAAAGGAAATCTTCTTCGCTGAAAATATTTTTATCAAATGGCCAAATTCCAGTGCAACGGAATCCAGATTTTATGTTTGAGGGAGTTGCAGATCGATCCCAAGCTATCATGCATATTGCTGCCAGGTTATATATCGACAAAGTCTGTCCTGGATGAGAGAGCATCCAGTCATCTGCTCCTTGGTTAAAATATCTTTTAAATGGGCCGAAAATAGTCCGATCTAAAGGTTGCAATTTGTTAGATGTGTGGGGTGGCAGAGTTAGGATCGTAATACCATTTTCTTTGCAGTAATCAATTGCAGGAACAGATAAATGGGATTCGTGATTGTCCATTATGAGGATGACTTGACGTTCTTTAGAACATCGAACATGAGCTACGAAGTGTTCTAAAACACGTAAAAAATTATCCGAGGTCATCCATCCAGATGAATGAACTAAGCCGGTTGCGCCATACTCGTCAGGAATACCACTTAACATTCGATGTTTGTCAAACTTTTTCCTTGAAAACACCCACACTGGAGGAAGTGCTATTCCATTCGCTCCAATGATGCCTACTTGCGTCACCAGCTGTCCTCTTTCACGTGAAGTGACCTTACCCACTTGATGCTGGCCTTTCGTCGCAACCACTTTTTACGTTTTTTGAACTGTGGTCACACCCGTCTCGTCCAAATTAAATATGTCTGATCCAGTAAATTCGTGCCTCTTCAGGACCTCCTCTAACTTAGCTTGAAATGCCCCAACCGTAGATTTGTTAAAACTGGAAATTCTCGCTAAACTTGTGTTTTCCGGAGTTCTTATAGACAAATGGGGTTGTCGATTTAAAAAACCCGTGAACCAATCCTTTCCAGCTAATTTATTTGCTTTCCAAGAGTCTGGAACTTTAACGTGATTTTTTTCCGCAAACTCATATGCTAATCTGCGCGTTGCCTTTGGAGTTAAACCATGGTACATATTCGAGCAAGTTTTAAGATAACAGGCAAGTGACGCTTCTAATTCATTAGATAAAACTTGACATGTAACGAAATGTGGAGAAAATGAAACATTTTCAATTCCAACGTCCTTTGCTTTTTTGACATATAATGCCAGGGTTGATTTTTTCACATTATGCTCTTCTGCGCTTTTCCTATAGGAATACTTTCCAGACAAAACATCTTCTGTTGCGACTTTCATGTCTGCTGAACAAAAGGTCCTGTCTGTCAACCTTTTGTACTTGGAAGGCATTTTTTCTGTAACAATTTTATACTTGCGGGACGGTTTGGACAGGTGTCCAAACCCTCCCACAAGATGGTTCAACTAATAACGTTAAAAAAATATTGAAGGATGTTTATATATCTTAAAAATAACAACAAACTTTTACTTGTAAAGCTTACCTAATACTGCAATTAAACCCGCAATTCAAAAAACACAAAACAGTTTGTTAAAAGGCACAGTTTAAACCTATCAAATATTAGAACGAACACGTGGAAAAATGTGAAAATGGTGATGCGTCGAAACGGAGCGACTAACCTGCTTCGCGCCGCGTCTAGACAAGCACTAAGGATATTCAATTGCGCTTCCGGTTAAGTATTTGTTTTGAATTGCTTCCCAATTAGGCGGCAGTTTTGAATGTGTCCAATGCCTCCCCCTGTCCAAACCCTCCCGGCGCTCCCCTACCAGTGTTTGCGTTGTTTTTATTTTTGCGGGTGCCTCTCAAAAGTGGCTCACCTCTATAACTTTTTTATTTTTTCAGATAAAACAACGAGATTTGGTATGTTAGTATATGACATAAATTTTGATTGATTGACATATTCAATTGTTTTCGGTCACTTCCGGTTTCATCGGAAATGACTACAACTTTTGATTTTTAAATGGCACCCTCGGTATTTTTTTACTTTATTCAATAGAAAATGACACTCTGAATAGAATGACATATGATATGTCCACTTTTGACACTTTCGAATATGGTTTATTTGAAATTGTAACATGCGATTCATAACGACAATTTGACTGAAAACCCAAGTGTGTTGTATCAAATTATTCGTAAAAAAATGCTTTTTCGAAATATGCTAATGAGCCACCCTCGTTCCGTTTGAAAAATTCAGATATGATTAAAAATACGATTTGGGCATCTTTTAACCGACCAGGACACGACACTAAAAACATTAGACTATTAAATCTATTTTTCCAAGGCTCCTTGATTAAAAAAACTTCACTCTAGATTGAAATTTAAAATACAATTATTTGTTTTTGAGCGAATATGTCAAAGGTTGACATATGATATGTCATTCGATTCAGAGTGTCATTTTCAATCGAATAAAGTAAAAAAATACCGAGGGTGCCATTTGAAAATCAAATGTTGTAGTCATTTCCGGTGAAACAGGAAGTGACCGAAAACATACGTCAATCAGTCCCAATTTATGTCATATACTAACGTACCAAATCTCGTTTTTTTATCTGAAAAAATAAAAAAGTTATAGGGGTGAGCCACTTTTGAGACGCACCTGGTACCTGGTATACCAAACGCATGAAATATGCATGTGAACAGTAATACCAAACGTAATACTAAGTACAGTAATATTATATTATATTACATACTGTCATACTACTGTTATTGTACTAATGTGTGTAAACTATTAGTATTAAAAACAAGGGTATTATATTGCTGTAGTATTACTGTTCATGTGCATGACTTTTATGTATTATTTGCGTTTGGTGATGTATTTTGGAGGTGAATAAACTGTAGGTACCCATGAAATTGATTGTTCCACAGATTTTTGTCGAAAAATTAAAAACTTTTGGGTTCAAAGAAAGTGCATTAAAATTTACATTCTCTAATAACAAGAACTGCATTTATTCAATTGGAAGTTGATTTCAAATATCTCATAAAATATATAGGGTGTCGTTTAAAAATATAATATCACTTTCGGTTAAATTAGAAGTTTTACCAGGCTGGTATCAACCTAGACACATACAGTTCATATAAAATAAACTTCTAATCACGTGATAAACCGGCACAATCTGACCGGCCCAGCGTTGCCCACATTTATATATTTTCTTTTAATTAAAATATTTCAAGAAACAAAAATAAATTATAATATATAAACAGTTATTATTTACATCAATTAAACTCACCTTCTTAACAGCACTTAAGGAACATAAAGGGCCATTACTACCGCTTTCCCGTTCAAAATATTCTAATAAAGTTGCGAGGAGATATTGTACACTTCGCACTAAAAGAGATTCTAAAAAGAACAATGTTCGACCAAGGTCTGCTAGTAAACATTTTTAAGCTTAAAGTATCACACAACTATTTATTTAAACCAAAAACTCATAACAAAAAACTGAAGTGTCAAAACGAATGACAATGTCAGGAAATAAATAAATAAATGCGGCAACTTGACATTTTTTACAGCAGAGCTGTCACCTGAATCCCCAGCGCAAAGTTTAAATTCCACTTAGTCAGCACCGTCAGCACGGCGCCGAATATGTCCATGTTTGCCAACAATTAATTTAAAAATCGCGCCCTCGATGACGTAACTAAAAGTTTATTTGATATGAACCGTAGGTACCGTAACATATATTACCACAAAGTCATGCTCTTGCTGCAGCTTCATTACAACAGGAGTACCACTGACTGTATTAAATATTTACACCACCTTGTTGAACTCCTGTTCTTGTTTCCTTACTTTGTGTCAGTGTCATCCTGACTATAAAGTATCTCTTATAAATATGACACTCTTAAAAACGTCAGTAATAAGAATGGGATATTTTATTTATAAAATCGGAACAAATTGGGACAATCCCGACATGATCCCGACTAAATAGGGACATCTGACTAATTCAACTCTATTTTTAACAGCACTAGCAGGAGAATGCGACGAGAGCAAGGAAGCAGAAGGATGGGTGGTCTCCTCCGAATCTTGTGGTTTCCTATCCATAGGAGCTCAATACGTTCGAGAAGTATATCCAGGAGAAATAATTGAAATGACCAGAAACGGAATCAGAACCATAGACATAGTCAGAAGAGCTGAAGGCGTACCTCAAGCCTTCTGCATCTTCGAGTACGTCTACTTTGCCAGAACGGACAGTATTTTCGAAGGACAGATGGTTTATTCTGTGAGACTACAATGCGGAAAGCAGCTGGCTATAGAACACCCTGTAGAAGCGGATGTGGTTAGTGCAGTACCGGAATCTGGCAACGCAGCAGCTCATGGTTTTTCTCGACAGGTAATATTCTTCTTCTTCGAGTACCGTCTCCTAACGGAGGTTGGCCATCATCATGGCTATTTTGATTTTATTTGCGGCTGCTCTAAATAATCCATTCGACGTCATTCCATACCATTCTCTAAGGTTCTTCAGCCAGGTCTGCACCGACTATTCTTATTCTTAAATCTAAGTTTATATCTCTACTGCAAAGAAATTTCTTTAGTTTTAAAAAAGAATTTCTGCCTATCTCAATCCTGGACCTTATTTCTTGCAGTTGTTCGGCAGTCATTTATTATCGTGCCCAAGTATTTGTAGTGTTGGACTTTTTCGATTGGCGTGCTGTCTTTTTATATTGAAGCACTTACATTTTGGTCTTTTGTAATAAACATGCATTTTGCTTTTTTCAAATTCATATTCAGCCCATATTGTTTGCACGATACATTTATTCTTTGAAGTAGGTTCTGCAGATCTTCACTATTGTCTGATTTGTCTGTCATTACTACTGCATCGTCAGCGTATCTGATATTGTTGATTCGTTGATCATTTACTTTGATTTCCTCATCTGCCTCTTCCAAAGCTTCTTGAAAGATGGCTTCACTACATTGAAAAGGAGGGGAGACAAGATGCATCCTTGACACTTGACACACACCTCGTTGTATTTGTATATTTTCAGAAAAACCATCATATAATCTGATCCTAAGACGGTCCTCAAGACAGGTTCGCTATCAATCTTATGTCTCGACTATCAATACTCGACTACTATAGGTATATTACCACAGAGTATTCATTAGATCATCAAATTTAGGTATCGCGTTGTTTGCATAAAACTTAGGTAGTCTTAAGCTTGATTTTCATGCATTCGTTGTCCGACGATACGTTGATACGATATTAATTTTATTGGTAGAATTTAAAGACTTTGATTGGTTAGAAACGGTTAACCAATCGAAGTCTTTAAAATCAACCAATAAAATTAATATCGTATCATCGTATCGTCATATAACAGATGTATGAAAATCAAGCTTTATACTGTAAATCATTCAAACATATTATAATATATATTTTTTGTTCTTCTTTAGAGCGGCATATCATTTGCTGAAGTACTCTGCAAGAACAGGTATGTCGGTAGATCTTTCATCCAACCAAGCAACAGACTGAGACGACTTTTGGTAGCCAAAAAGTTTGGAGCTTTAGCAAATATGGTAAAAGGCAAACGAATTATTCTAGTAGACGATTCTATAGTCAGAGGAAACACAATTGGACCCATTATCAAACTGTTACGCAATGCTGGTGCAACTGAGGTAGATAACTTTATTTTAAAATATGTTGTAATGACTTAAATTGAATGTAATTATGCGCAGGTACACATAAGGGTAGCCAGTCCGCCTCTGAAATATCCTTGTTACATGGGAATTAATATACCGACCAGGGAGGAATTGATTGCTAATAAATTGAACTCAAGGGAATTAGCTAAACATGTTGGTAAGTTTAAATTTTTCTAAGAAATTTTTTAATTTATATAGGCAACCCGTTAAACCATGAATTTAGTGTTTTATTTATTGCACTATGTATTATTAGTTGCATATAATATATGGCATAACCAATGACTAAAGAATATAAGGACATGTAACGCCCCTATATGGGCTGCAGCAGAATTTGTGACCTTTTTTTTTCTTTTGGTGGCAAACAATGAGTCATCATTTGGTCACCAGCGACAATTTTAGCGATTTTTAATAGTTTGTGTGTAGTAAACTTTGTATAAACTTTATTACAATCGTGATTAGTTGTTCAGCTTTCAAGTGTAAAAGCAGTAGCGATAAGAAAGAGCCAGGAGTTACGTTTCATAGGTAAATAAACAGTATACTCCAACTTTTTACCGTTTTCTTATTGAATTCGATAATTATTCTTCAATTCCAATTAACATCTATATGTACTTGATATGTGCTATACGTCGATACTCGTTTTGTACCTTTTGTTAACATTTCAATATGTTTTTTTCGTAATTACTTAGGATGATACACCATAGGCGTAGTCAAAACAATTATCAAAAAATATAAATATTGCTTCAAACAGCTAGGTTAAGAAAAATATGTGCTACGGCACTGTTTGGTGTCATCGTCACAATTTGCTCTCGGGTGTTATTTGTCCTTGGATTCTTTAGTCATTGTGCATAACAATGACTAAAGAATATAAGGACATGTAACGCCCCTATACGGGCTGCAGCAGAATTTGTGACCTTAAACGCCTTTTCTTTTGGTGGCAAACAATGAGTCATCAGTTGGTGACCAGTGACAATTTTAGCAATTTTTAATAGTTCGTGTGTAGTGAACTTTGTATACAGTACGTCTGTCCGTTCTGTAGCTACGGGGTATCCGTGAGAGGGGAAACGATATTCTCTCGATGTTTTTCGTAAAAAATTAGACGACGCGTCCCATCAATAAAAATTCGACAAATTTGCAAGAAGCCAATAAAATGAGTGGGCGGAGCGATTTGCGGTGACGTACTCGTCAAGTCGACGTATAAAATATATTGTTATTTATTTAAATGTTTTTTGTCCGCATTCCTTTCATAGACACAGATCCAGCAGACGTACTGTAAATTTTATTACAATGCTGATTAGTTGTTCAGCTTTCAAATGTAAAAGCAGCAGGGACAAGAAAGAGCCAGGCGTTACGTTTCATAGGTAAATAAACAGTCTGCTCCACCTTTTTAGCGTTTTCTTATTGAATTCGATAATCATTTTTCTGATATTATATCTACTTGATGTGTGCTATAGTCGATGCTAGTTTTGTACCTTTTGTTAATATTTTAATACGTTTTTTTCGTAATTAATTAGTATGATGCCACCGCCTACACCATAGGCGTAGTCAAAACATTTATCAAAAATATAAATATCCCTTCAACTAGCTAAGTTTAGAAAAAAAATATGGCCACGGCACTGTTTGGTGCCACGGTAACAACTTCGGGTATTATTTGTACTTGAATTCTTTAGTCATTGATGCATAATATTGTGCGACCCTTTTAAATTTTGATTTTACATTGGTTTTCCTTCTAGGGGCTGACTCTTTGGAGTACCTCAGCGTTGAAGGATTAATTAGAGCTGTCAGATCAGATCTTAAGACTAAAAGTACGTCAAAAGTAGGCCACTGCACGGCGTGTCTTACCGGAATTTATCCGGATGGTGAACCCATTAAAAATCCAGAATTAGATTGGTAAATTTATTATATTTTAAACTGTGATTTTAAGTTGTAATGTTCAGGAAGTGGTCAGCACACAAAACTGCCATTGGTAATAATTAAATCACCAAGTAAACTATGATATTGTATAGAGTTTTCTTGGTATAGGAACTAGGATATTTTATAATTTATTTACGAAAAATTGTGTGACTTAAGAGTACGTGAGATGTTTCTATTTTGTAACCTTATGATATTAAAATATTTATTTTTATGTATTTAAATATTTATTTTTACAAACGTAATTTTTTTTTACAATTACCATTTAATAAAACAAATTATTTTTGGTATGTTTACTTTTATTACAATTCCCAACATGTTACAATTTAGTCAACAAATATAATAACTATAACGATATGTACATATAATAAAAATCAGTAGACTAATATAAAATAGAAACGTTATTTTTTAATTGTTTTTAGATTTCTTGATATACAAAAGAATATTATAAAACCAAATTTAAACTAACACTCTTATATACACATTGACACAATATCAGCCTTAATTTTTTGCACCTCTACTTGCAATTGCTTCAATATCATCAATTTCTTTGGGACACCTTCTGCTTAATACAACAGGGCCGTTGACTGTAATCAAAATGTCATCTTCTATTCTAACTCCTATACCATGGTAGTCTTTAGGTATTTTTGATTTTTCACTAATATAAATTCCTGGTTCGATAGTTATGACCATACCAGGTTCGATTTTAATGTTTCTGCTTATTGATGAAGTGTCATGTACGTCCATGCCCAAATAATGAGATACGTGATGAGGACACAGCTGATAAGCAGCCTAAAAAGTTTAGTTCTATCTTTATACTATTAATTTCATTGATAACTTTGCCTAATAAAGTGATATGATAATCCAACCAACAATACGAATCCTAACCGAATATGACCACCAATGTTGCCAAGTACTTGATCTTAATTTTCACTACATTTTAATTAAAGTGAACGTTAGTCAAATCATCTAGAAATATTTTTACTATTTTTTTTTCTAAATATTTAAATATTATTATTCTACAGGGTTGGTCACCACATACGACACGGAGTGTTGTGTAGCTAAACAATTAGATTTTTACAAATTGTACCTTTTCAATTGATACCCTTGCAGAAAATGAAGCCTTAAGGCATTTTTATCAAAGTTTTTAATACTAAACATTTGCTGAAGATTATTTATTGATCAGATATTATGTTGCAATATTAAAAATTATACTATCCTATACAGAGTGTCCAAAAATTTATATTAAATAATTACTAGCTTTAAACGGCAATAACTTGTTTAATTTAAATGGAACACCATGTATATTTTACGTGAATCAGATGCACAATTTAATGGTCTATCAAACTGTATTATACAATTTTTACCTATCTCATCAAGTTTTTGCAGAAAATGCATTTTCTTATAATTTAGACGTCATTTATCACTATATGATATACAATATGGAATATTGACATTTTAGATTTTTTAAAGCAATATATGTACAAAATGTACAGGGTGGGTCAAATTCGACGCTTTTAAATGGAAACACCCTTTTCTATAGGAGATAGACAAAAACTAATATCGGTGTCTGGAGCTCAATTTTTGTCAAAAACATGATGGTGATAACCGCATATCGATATCTGTTACCGTTTCGGAGTTACGGGGTGTTTTCCAAAAATATGCACTTTTAACAAATCGCTGTAATTTTTTTGTTATGGAAAATTTTGTATTTTTATGAAAACATTTCCAAAGCACTTTTAAGCGTAGAATTTAATGGTTTAAGTATAATTTTTTTAAAATTAATAATTTAAGTAATTCTCTAATTTTTTTAAAATTATTAATTGTAAAAAAATCATCAACATAAAATTTGATTTTTTATATGGGACACCCTGTATATTTTTAATTTATTGAAAATAATTTAAAATTACCTATCCAAAAATATAACACACTTGATATTTTGCTCGATTCCTCTTCGAGATATAGAGTATATAAAAATTCGCCCGCTTTAAATGAGTAGACTTTGAACGACAAAATGCAAAAAAAATCTAGCTGTGAGCATCAATTAAAACGAAAATAATATTTGCTATGAGAGATGCAGAGTTTTATAACTATTTAAAATATATTTAATCAACATCAACACACTTAAAGTATATCTAATAACAAGAAAAATAAATAGCAAACCAAGATATGAGATTTTGCTATAGGTGTTCGACATATCGACCGTCTTCTGTTATGGACAGACGAGGCAGTTTTTGAACATTTCTCGCGGAATTCATTAACTAAGTGGGAGTGAAAGATACCCTCTCATAACTGCTTAGTATTTCTAATTCTTGTCTAGATTATACGGAAGAATAAGGAACCTTTATTTTTCCGCAAATATATCGATAGGATTAGATCCATGGGCACTAAGTCAGGCGGCCTCGACGGCCAAGGGCTGGAATCTTGGTTGGCTATTCAATTATTCTTGAAATTGGATGCAAACATTTGCTGATAACTTCGGCGATCAGAGGCGGTGCGTCGTCTTGCTGGAAAAATATGTTTTCGAGTTCCATTAAGGGCATATCATCAATAAAGGGTCCAAAGCATGCTAGTTAAAAGTGGCGAACTTTTAAAAATTCTGTATTTCTAAGGGGATTATAACAAAATATCAAGTGTGCTATATTTTTGGAAAGGTAATTTTAAATTCTTTTCAGTTAATTAAAAATATAGAGGGTGTCCCAAATAAAAAATCAATTTTTCTGTTGATAACTCTTAAATTATTAATTTTAAAAAAATTATACTTAAACCATTAAATTCTACGTAAAAAGGTGCTTTGGAAATGTTTTTATAGAAATACAAAATTTTGGATAGCAAAAAAGTTACAGCGATTTGTTAAAAATGCACATTTTTGAAAAACACCCAGTAACTCCGAAACGGTAACAGATATTGATGTGCGGTTTTCACCATCATGTTTTTGATGAAAATTGAGCTCCAGACACCGATATTAGTTTTCGTCTATCTCCTATAGAAAAGGGTGTTTCCATTTAAAAGCGTCGAATTTGACCCACCCTGTACAGGTGGTAAAAATAATATTGCAAACCCATTTGTTTTTGTTTCATTTAAAAAAATACAACTATAATATTTTTTACTTATCTGTGACACTCTGTATCTTGTAAAAATATTTTTAAATTGTAGCTCTAATAGATCTTCAACGAACTCAAAACTTAATAAATTATATATTATATATATTATAATTAAAAAAAATAATTTGTAAAAATCTAATTGTTTAGCTACAATACTCCGTGTCGTATGTGGTGAACAACCCTGTATTTTGTTTAGAAAAATATAAGATATATTAATCATAATTACTTTTAATAAAGTATTAGATTTACATTCCCACTGAATTTTATTCAGTGACATTAAACAAACCATCTAAAAATGAAAATCTCAAAGAATGCAAAAATGCTGATGAACTATTATGTGTGAAAATGCGTTAATAACTTTTAATACTAACTAATATAATAAATAATAAAAGTCAATGTATTAAGTATATAGGTAATAACCTATAACTTAACTAGTAACTGGTAACTAGTAAAAACTGAAATATTTAAATATTATGACATTAAGTCACGATGTCAATAACTAACGATTAAAATAAACGGTAACTGAGACGGCGTAAAATAAAGTAGGCGAACAGTTCTGATTTTTGCCGTATCGAGCGCTGCCGTCGTCTCTTAAAATATTGAATGAAATGCCCCAAGCCTATAATAAACAATTTACTCAATAAATCTTACCTTCATTATATAACTATCTGAAGGCTGAACACCTACAAGTCCAATTTCTTGCAGTTTCCTACCAAGCAATAAACACATACACTCGAAAAGCATATCTAGAGTTGGCAATTTACTACATAAATTAATCAGTTCTTTTTGTACTTCTAACACTATCTGATAAATCTCTTTCTGACAATTTGTAAACTTTCCATTTACAGGCCAAGTTCTCGTTATATCACTGGCATATCCATGATATTCACAACCTGAATCCAGTTGTAATTATAAAAAAAAATATTATTAAAATATTTAGGATTACCAGCATCCATAAGAACCATTTCATTTCCGTACACTAACTGATTGTTGTTTATGTAATGTATTATGGTAGCTCTGCTTCCTCCAGCTACTACTGGAGGGTATGCTAAAAATTCAGCACCTCTAGCTCTACATTCGTAATCGACTTTTGCAAATAACTGATTTTCTCCTGTTAAAAAATACCAGTTAACAATATGCCATAAAATTTTTTGGCAAATTTACCTATTCCCGGTCTAGAGTATTCCATGGTTTCTGCTATAGCTTTTGAAGCAATGTCACAGGATTTTTGCATTAAAGCTATTTCAGCTGTGCTTTTATACAACCTTAGCTTGTGTATAAAATTTCTAGGCGATTCAAAATGTTTATTACCACATTCCTTCAAATAATCTCTCACTATATTCGATGTCTCAGTACTGACATTTGATTCAAGATCATACCTTCAATAAAAGTTAGAAAATAGTCTAAGAAATATTATCAATTTTAGAAATATACCACAAATTGACCACAGAGCTAGATTTTCTAAATGAGTTTATAAAATTAGGTAGTTCACTAATGGGTAAGCTCTGATCCACTCCAAAAAAGTCAGGTGCGTCCTCTGGATGAGTCCTAGGCCCATCCCAAAGTTCTGCATGGCTATCTTTGTCCCTTGTAAAGAGGGTGGTTCTGTGACCGCTATAAAATACATTTATTTATACAAGAGAATAAATAAGAGTTTGTTAAGAATACCTTGGACTTTTTGATGTAGTTATTACAACACAAGTATTAGGTTCTTGGCAGCCAGTTAGATAGAGAAAGTCTGAATTTTGGCGAAATATATAAGGTATTTTATCAGACATAAACTGTTTATTTGCCGACGGGATTATTATCTAAAAAATTTTTTAACATTATTTGTGATCTTTCTGGTCACATTTAGACTCTATACCATATGACTCTTTGACGGAGCATTACATTTAAGGGCGTACTCGGATATCGACTCTACTAATTTTTGTCTACGATTTTGATATTCTTCTTTTTTGATTAAAGGAGTCACCTCGTTTTCCCCTATTAAATGTGGATGAGTGTACTGTGTCGGTTGTCCTAACGTTTTCTTGCTACTTAAATCGCATTTTACCTTATTTCTAGCAGCTTTTGTACAAAAATTTTTAGTCAAATCTATATAAATAAAAATGAAGCTTAAAAATGATAGAATGTAGAATTCTACATTCTAAAAATGATAACTATTGCATATATATATTTAAAAGTTTTACTTACTTATTCCTAGATGTAAAAATAGTCTATTCTTAAAAGAAATCATATTTTTTTTACGATTATATCACAGAAATTTGGAAGAAAAGCCAAAGAATTTTTTATGACAAATTTGTTATGACATTTTTCAAAATCCAGCCGGTTATTGTTTGTTATTTTGATATAAAAAATAAGGTATGTATTCGATAATTTATGTCTGAAAGTTATTTACTTTATGAATTATTTTTAGGTTTTATGATATTATATCAAATAAATTATAAATATCTTTACAAAATTTCTAACCTAATTTTTTTTAAAAATAAATTATTTGTATGTTTAGTTGCATAACACTTTACACAACAAAGAATTTTGAGTTGCATATGAACAAAATTCATTATAACATTTGATTATAACTATGATTATAACCTTACATTTTAAAATTTAAAAAGTAAATAATGTGATCGGTATTTCATAAAAAGTCCAATCTATTTTTTTTAAAAGAAAATGTCCCAAAAAATTCATATTCGTACTGCTTCCGCTTCGAGTAGAGTGAGACCTTTAGCAACAACTGAAAAATCATATAAAATTTTTACCCCCGGTGAAGTAGTTATTAAAGAAGCAAATACAAATTTTGTAAGGTAGAATCTGTTGCTTTATGTATTGTTTAAACAGTTTTATGTTAATTTCGTTTGTTAGAGGACACGGCACTTATGAGGAAAACGGAGATCTTAAAGCTTCAGTTGCAGGTGTCAAGGAACAAGTAAATAAACTTATTTCTGTTAGACCTTTAAAGAGTCGATATAATGGCCAAGTTGGAGAAGTTCTTGTTGGTAGAATATCAGAGGTACAACAGAAACGTTGGAAGGTAGATACGAATTCTAGATTGGATTCTGTTTTAATGCTGTCTTCTGTAAACTTACCTGGAGGGGAACTGGTAAAAAATAATATTTGCCATTTAATGTTGGTATTGATTAAAGATTATTTTAGAGGAGGAGATCAGTAGAAGACCAACATATGATGAGGCAGTATCTTCAAGAAGGTGATTTAATTAGTGCAGAAGTTCAAAGTATCTTCTCAGATGGTTCACTGTCACTACACACTAGAAGTTTACGTTATGGCAAGGTAATAATTTTATATATTTTTTCTTGATTTGTTGATGTTTAATTTTGTTTGTCAGTTAGGACAAGGACTTTTAATAAAAGTCTTTCCTTCTTTAGTGAAAAAAAGCAAAATTCACTTTCACAATTTACCTTTTGGCGTGAGCTTGATACTGGGAAATAATGGGTATATTTGGATTAGTCCTCCAACTGATAATACTGATGATAACGTTGGGGGTTTTGTACAAAACTTGGAAGAGGTAATACTAGTTTTACAATAAAAGTTTTCCTGTATTAATAAAGCAATTTAGGTCATATCAAAGGATATAAGAGAAGCAATGGGCAGAGTCCGTAACTGTATATTAGCATTAGCTGAAAACAAAATGATGCTATTTGATACCAGTATTGTTTTTGCTTATGAGGAATCATTGAAGTATTCAGTTGCCGAGCTTTTGCTACCAGAAGCTATGGTGGATGTTGCATTATTGACTCAGCACAGACTTTCCATGTTAGATGATTATGAATTTGAGTAAAATATACTACAAATTTTTTATTTTGTTATTATGATAAGGATTAATAAATATAAAATGTAATAAGATAAGGATTAATAAATAAAAAAAAATTATAATGTTATTTTAGATTTTTTTTTCTGTTTTAAAGTTATACAGGAGGGTGACACATTGTTCTGCAAAAGCTTTAATCAGGTTTCTGGTTTGAGATTTTCACTATAATGTTATTATTTAATATTTGCGGGTAGTAGTAGTAGTGCATAATTTAAAAAATATTTTTGCTACTATACAGAACCATTCAAACATTTTTAAACAGACGTTGTATACAGGGTGTCCCAATATTCCGTGGACATAGAATTACCATGTATTTTTGGAATCAAAATTAGTTCATTGGACACAGTTTACCTCTATACAAAAATGCTTCTTTGTCCGTTAGAGGGCACCAAACTTTAAAAAAATATGCACAATTTTTCAGATATTTTAAGAAGCGTTATTCTGATTTGAATGGGATTTTGGGTGTCTAGGTTTTGCTAAGAGCTTTAACATTTGGCTTTCACAAAAATTGAGAAAAAGTACGGGAAGGGTGAAAACTACCCCCACCCCTACTTGAGTTTTAGTATAAAGTATAAATATTCCAATTTCCAACTCGACCGACGCGACGACCGATTTTTTTTTTCGTAAAATGGTCCTAGTATTTACTGCATTTTTTGAATCTTGTAAAAAACGCTACCGCGCATACTTTTTGGGGAAAACATTATTTTTCCTGAACTTCTAAAAAATGTTTTTTTAACGTTAAGTTATGGAGGCGCACAAAATCTATTATGCTCTTAATAATCTAGTTGGCAAAAACATGGAATTTTATGTTAGTATCGCAAATTTTATTTGACAATAATAAGCTTCAGCGAAACGCGCGTCCAGTGTGAAAGTAAAAGTGTTTCGGTGTATTGTGGTGATTTAGTGTTTTTATTTTGCTGTATAACATCAAAGGTTCCAACCCTCAACTGTAAGCTTTATATAAAGCTTAAAAAAATTGATAAATTTTCAATTAATTAACATTTTCGAGTCCAATTGCACATTTTTTTATTATTTATTTATTATATAACACGGTTTTTATTAAACTACACATTCCTCTTATTTAAAGCTTTTTTATGAATTTGAGTAAAATATTAATAAAATATACAGGGTGTCCCACTTAAGATGGATACAAGCTAATATCTTGATTGTTTGTTGAGCGATCTTTTTCATTTTTGGCAGGAGGCTGTATGGCTATAAGACCTACATTTTGCCCAGGTCAAACCCAGGGCAAGAAATGCGATACCTCATAGACGTACGTTTTAATGGGGTTTGATATTTTTCGAGTCAAGAGTAAACTACCCTTAGGACAGTATTTATTTCAAATCTGATAAATTATATTGAATCTTCCTTACCCAAGATACTTAAGTTCTAATTGTGATAAATATTGATACAGGGTGTGTTATTAAAATAAGACATTTTTATTTTTATTATTATTTTTTTAAGTACTTACGACGCCGACGCTACTGGATAAACAACTGGTTTATTACACTACTCAACACTAAAAAATTATCTGAATCGGCTTATATTGTTTCATAATCAGGTCGGTTAATAAAAATATTTGTAAGCAATTTTAATTTCATATCACATCTAGTTTTGCCAAAACTACCTATCAAATTGGGTCTCATAAAACATTTTGTAAAACGCTTAAAGAAAGCTGCTTTACAATTTCGCAAGCAAAAGTTTTCGAAGCTTAGCGAAGCAAAAATCAAAAAAGGCGTATTTGTTGGTCCGGACATTAAAAAGCTAATTAAAGATTCATCTTTCATATCTACTCTTAACCCAACTGAAAAAGAAGCATGGAACGCTTTTATAGATGTGGTAAAAAACTTTCTTGGTAACAACAAATCCGCCGACTTTCTGTGACAAAATAAACATGATGCTAGACTGCTATTATAAAATGGGATGCAATATGTCTTTAAAACTGCATTTCCTTCATTCCCATTTGAGTTTTTCCCCGAAAATATGGGCTCAGTTAGCAATGAACAAGGAGAACGTTTTCATCAAGATATTGCTACAATTGAGAGGCGTTACCAGGGAAGATGGGAACCTACTATGCTAGCCTATTACTGTTGGAGATTCATAAGAGATACCTCTCCATCTCAGTATAAGAGAAAAGCCAGTCAGACTAAAAAAACCTTGCCTTTCCAGTCAAAACACTAGTGAGTGAAGATAAGAACTAGGTACTTTAGTTTCCAGAAAAATTGTGATTTTTGACCTGCCATATTATCTAGAAACTGTGATGTGATGGAAAACTTTTATTTATATATTTTTATTAAGTTAATAGTAAGAAATAATAATTACATAGTAAGACCCTAGATAATTTAAAAATGTTGAAATTTGTTAAGTAGTGTTATCAATAACCAATTATCAATTAATAATCGATTTAAGTTTTCAGATAGCTTCCGTAATAATTAAGGTACAATACAAAAAAAACTAAATATTTTCAATTTATTTTGTTTACTTAATTAAAAATTGTTTTTTAAGTTTGCTAATATAAATGAATAAAATGAGTTACAAAATAATTTAAAAATCCAGTTTTCAATGGAATCTGAAATATGATTTTTATTCGTTTTATTGAGGAATATTTAAAAAAATCCAAATAGTTATTTAAAACAATCACTATTAACTTTGAAAAATATGCTCTAAACAAAGATTTATAAAACTATAACGAACTAAAAGTCAATATCTTCGACCAAACTTAAATCGATTATTAATTGATAATTAGATATAATTATAATATAGTTTATCCAGTGGCGTTGTAAGTACTTAAAAACATAATAATAAAAATAAAAATGTCTTATTTTAATGACAACCCCTGTATCAATATTTATAAAAATTAGAACTTAACTATCTTAGGTAAGGAGGATTCAATATAATTTATCAGATTTGAAATAAATACTGTCCTAAGGGTAGTTTACTCTTGCCTCGAAAAATATCCAACCCCATTAAAACGTACGTCTATGAGGTATCGTATTTCTTATCCTGGGCAAAATGTACGTCTTATAGCCATACAGCCTCCAGCCAAAAATGAAAAATATCGCTCAACACACAATCAAGATATTGGCTTGTATCGATCTTAATTGGGACACCCTGTATATGATTAGGTTTAATAAATAAAAATACGAATTTCGATAGAGTGTTTTATTAGAAATTTGTTTTCTATTACAAAAAATATATTTTATGTTAAGCTTATGTAATAAATCTAATGAAATATGTTATATATACATTCTTAAGAATTATGACCTAGTGCATTTAATATAGTGAGTCGATATAAATAAATAATTTAAATAACTTAAAAATGAAAATTTTATAGCGGATGACATACATATAAGCAAAGCCTCGAATATCTTACCGTTACAAATTTTTATTGACCTGAAATCAATAGGATTTAACATTTTAAGATAGAACACAAAAGTGTAGGTACTCTTTTGTCTACTATCTTAAGAAAAAGAAAAAAAAATCTTTCTGTAACGGTAAAATTTTTAAATAATATTTTTTGCGAGAGCAGTTTCAAAATCCCATCACCATATCAAGAAACCCATCACCTGTGCCCGAAGAATTGTCTTTAAAATTGTTGCTAGTCTTGTTTTAATGGGGCTCTTGTGACCCCATATTTTCTGATTTTTACACAACAATCTTCGTTTTTTTTTATCCAATACGAAGCTGTTGTGTGAAATATCACAAAAAAATATAGTTATATACCAAGTAGCATTTAATTTTTTTTATTTATATACAACGGAAGAAAATGCTACTCAGAACTAAAATGTGTTAAATATATTGGTTTTATTACTAAAATATCCTTAAAAATGAATACGTTGCTTTATAGTACTTATTGCCACATGATTACCTTTTCTTATTTTTCTAAAAAGGTACTAAAAACTGGGAAAATACCCGGGTTGATCGGTAAGTACTTTAATCCAATACGTACGGGGGTATTTCGTATAGTAATAAGCCTTAATTAGGACGGCAAATGCTAGTTCGAATTCAAGCGAATCTTTTCGATGGGTTTAGCCATTTCTTCATATAGTAACAGAATAAGGTCGTGATATAGAGCAGTACTAATAGAGCGCATGTCACTCCTAACGCTAAAACTGACGTTTTAGTCGGGCAAGGTTCGACAATGGTGACGGTTTTGTCTTTTCCAAAATCTGCGCTGTTGGGATCGCTCTTCAAGAAGTCGGATTGTTCGAAATCACCCAAGTCCAAAACTAGGATTTCCTGGCTAAGGGTCATATCTTCTTCTTTCTCCTCTTCGGTTTGATTTTGGACGCTTCTCTTCCTTCTGCCCCAGGATTCTAGAGAGTCTCTGCCCCATTCACAAACAGCCTGAAGAAAAAATATCAAATAAATAAAGTTTTTTATGTCTAAATTTTTTTAATAAAATTGTTTTTCTTTTTATATTAATACAGGGTGTTCCAAAAAACATGTGTCATCTCTTGTGGGGAGATTCCTCACGTAAATTTTTAAGATTTGTTTTTACGTGTTGATTGTCGATTGTCATAAACACTGTTTAAAAAAAGAAATCAAAACACCTAACACAGTTTTGAAGAGTCAAAAAGTAACTTTTGTTTTTACTTGTATAATGATCAGCCAAAAACAACTCAGGATGCTAACATTCTACACAGTTTTACATACTGAATTCTGAAAATGCACAAATTCTGAAAATAATTTAAAAAGTTATAGGACTTTCAAGGGGATGTGGTGTAGAGTATTTGAAAAAATGTTAAATTAAACATTGGCACCACTCTCTCAATGGATATACACGGTGGGCCACTGAAAATTTACAATGGCTATAATTCTTAAACCAAAAAAGATATCAAAAAAACAAAAAATACCGTTTCTATAATATCGAGGGGGAATACATATGACGTATTTTTTAACCACCCTGACCTACCCCTTAGGCGGCACCCCTACTCACTTGAAAATCTTAAATGGCAACACCCCACTTGTGGCGCCTTTTTGGAAAGCCCATGAAAAATGCTAAACGATGATCATAAAGTTTTTAGGGTGAAATTTAAAAACTACCCCTTACACGAAAAGTTAGGTGGACATTAATGAAAAAAGTGATTTTTTCAGCATAAGTTACAAATTGGGACCCAGCTTAATGAGGCAAATGAGGTATTTTTCAAACCACCCCGACCCACCCCTAGGTGCCACCTACTCACTTCTAATCTCAAGATAGCGATACCCCACTTGTGACACTTCTTTGGAAAGCTAATTGAAATTGCTAAACGATGGTCATACAGATTTCAACTTCTGTCTTCTCAACAATTGCTCAAAATGACAGCCGTTTTGTTCCATACAAAAATACAAACGATTTTCAAATTCTCTCACTTTTTGGAAAGTCTCTCTCGGAATATTTCGACATGCTTCAGTTATCCTCTGCCGCAATTCTTGCAACGAACCTGGTTTTTTTTTGTAGACTATGGATTTAGTGTAACCCCACAAGAAAAAGTCTAAAGGAATGAGATCAGGTGACCTTGGCGGCCACTCGATTGGACCCCTTCTGCCAATCCATTGCTTTGGATAATATCTATCCAACCACCGCCTTGTGACAATAGAATAATGCGGAGGGGCTCCATCTTGATGAAAGTGTATGAGGTCTTCATTAAGAGTTAAATTTCCTTCCAAATCTCTTTGATTTTCAACCTCATTTACAATGGCTGGCTCTATCAAATTGTTCAGCATTTCCACATAAGCATCACCAGTCAAATTTCCAGTCGATGAAAAATGGACCTATAATTTTATCGCCTAGTATTCCGCACCAAACATTGAGCTTTTAGGGATGTTGGGTGTGTCCTTCAATAACAATATGTGGATTCTCATCGCTCCAGTATCTGCAGTTCTGCTTATTCACAATTCCGTTTAAAAAAGAGCACTCATCACTAAAACAAATATTTTTAATAAGTGAAGGTTCCCTTCGAATTTCCTCCGTCATTAGTTCACAGAACTGAATTCTTCTATCTGGATCGTCGTCGCCAAGTTCCTGCAGAATCTTCATTTTGTAGGGATGGAATTTGTGCATTTTCAATACTCTCCTGACAGATGTTCGAGGTATACCTGTGATTGATGCCAACTGGCGTGTTGATGCTTCTGGATTGACCGATACCTGACCAATAACTTCCATCTGCATTTCTTCATTCAGTACCCTGGGCCCTGTCCTTGTTTTATTTTTGACCGACCCAGTTTCTTGAAACTTTAAAATCAAATCTCTAACATAAACGTGACTTACGTTTTTGTCCGGATTTCTCTCATTGAAAGCACGTGCCGTTCTCAAATAACACATACCTTCAGCACCATAAAGAAAAACTATTTGAATTCTTTCTTCCACAGTATAAACCATTTTTCTTTCAAAAAAGCGAATCAAATAAACGTTTAAAATACCACCAAATTTGCAAACGATCGAAAATCGATAGAAGACAGTGCAAAATCGCAAAGATATGCCGGTTTAAGATTCCTGTTTGTTGAAAGTAAAAAAATAGATGATAAGGAAGAATTTGCGTTATCGCAAAATTAGGCTGTAAAAACATCTTTGTGTTGCCTTTTTTATTATCTACATTTAAAAATGGCATTGATGAGATTAGAAGTGAGGGGATGGCACCTAGGGGTGGGTCGGGGTGGTTTAAAAAATGCCTCGTTTGCCTCATTTAGCTGGGTCCCAAATTATAACATATGCTGAAAAAATTACTTTTTTCATTAATGTCCACCTAATTTTTCGTGTAAGGGGTAGTTTTTCAATTTCACCCTAAAAACGTTATGATCGTCGTTTAGCATTTTTCATGGGCTTTCCAAAAAGGCGCCACAAGTCGGGTATTGCCATTTAAGATTTTCAAGTGAGTAGGGGTGCCGCCTAAGGGGTAGGTCGGGGTGGTTCAAAAAATACGTCATATGTATTCCCCTTTGATATCATAGAAACGGTATTTTTTATTTTTTTGATATCTTTTTTGGTTTAAAAATTATAGCCATTGTAAGTTTTCAGTGGCCCACCCTGTATTTTTAATGGATGTTTGTATAAGCGAGTACTTACAGGTTCACAAGGTCCTAGGCAATATTTGACGTTGCACTGGAAGATCACACCGTAAGATTCGGTGAATCTGAAGGCTTCGTAGATGGATTGGAGAGCATTGCCGTCCAGGTTGAAAGCGGGGAAGATGCTGGGATCTACGGGACATCCCTCGTCGTCGATTATCTGGAAGATGCTCTTGGAGTCTTTGGCCATAGCCACGCAGCTTCTGGCAAAAATACCGTAAGGTGCTAGAAAGAAAAAAAAATAAATTTAAGATAAGAAACCAAACCAAACCAAATCAGTTTTATTATCGGATTCATATTCAGGTAGTTCGGATTTATATTCAGGTAGTCAGTCATGAATAGTTTCAGAATAGTGGAAGGAACTGGTATTAACTAGGAGACATTAACTTAAAATCCTTTACTTTAATCCTTAAAATATACTTACTTAATCCTTAAAATTTCATATTTTGAGAGAATTTTGTTTTTTTTTTCACTTTGATTTTTCATTTTTCTAAATAGGTAGGAAATTCTGGTAAACCGAGTTTTATGTTAGTTTTAAAAACCTCAACTTCGAACTAAAACTCGCAATTTTCCTTTCAAACAAACTTTTACTGGGAAAACTTTGTGGAAAACTTGCAACCGAAAGGTATTTCTAGAAGGAAAACTTTAGCGGTCTGGCACTTAGTTTTTTGTTCGTTTTTGGTTGTTAGGAAAAATGAAAAATACAATAGGCTATGTAAAAACATCTTAAAGTTGACCATTTTTCTTTTAAAAACGAATATACAATACGATCGAAAAAAACGACATCACACTTGGCTTGAAAATGAAGATCTCTCTCATTTTATATGTGAAGTTATATGGTGAATGTCATTAATCGACATTTCTAAGCCAACTAAGACCATTTTTGGCAAATTTTACGGATTTACTTGTGAGATATTTCCTATCATTTCAATTTTGACCACTAACTACCAAGATTTCAATTGTCGTATTTAGTGGAAAAAAGTTCTGAGGGAATTTTTATCAAAGCCACCTAATGTTCTTTGTCTGGCATGTTACCGTTGGAAATCCTATACATACAGTTCATACCAAATAAACTTTTAGTCACATGATTAAGCTTGACCGGTACAGCGTTGCCCACTTTTACATATTTTCTTTTAATCAAAATATTTTAGGAAACAAAAATAAATTAATTATAAATATATAAACAGTTATTATTTACATCAACCAAACTCACCTCCTTAACAGCATTTATGGGACATAAAGGGCTATTACTATCGCTTTCCCGTTCAAAATATTCTAATAAGATTGCGATAAGATTTTTGCAACGACTAGATATTAAGCTATTTTGTACCACTTCGCACTAAAAGATGTTCTAAAAAGAACAACGTTTGAAAACTCGTCATACAAAATTAAAGTGTTAAAACGAATGACAATGTCAGTAAATAAAAATAAATAAATGTGGCAACTTGACATATTTTACAGCAGAGCTACCATCTGAATCCCCAGCGGGAAATCTAAATTCCCGTTCAGTTAAATTATCAGCCCGACCCTGAATACGTCCATGGTTGGTAACAATGAATTTAAAAATCGCGCCCTCATTACGTAAGTAAAAGTTTAATTGGTATCGCCTATATTTCAAAAGTTTCTTTAAAAATGTTAAATAGGTACTTACTATCTTCTGGAATTTCGATTCTGAAAGTGAGCTTGTCCCCAATTCTCACCGTTTCCACTTCTCTGTTCAGGCTGTCCAGGATGCGGATCTTTGGTGGTGGTGCTTCAGGAGCAGAAGTGATGCTGATCATTTCTGGATCTCTGTTATCATGAAAATAACGATGGAGAAATTAGTTAAATATCGTTTATTTGGAAAAAAAAATCAAGTTATACCTGATAGGCATCATTCCGAAAGTGATGTTCTTCGAAGACATGTCGTATGTGCATTTTACTTTGTAGATTTTGTCAGCTTTGGTCATGACAACGCTGTGGTGCTGGAGTACTACTGTATTACTGTATACTCCCGTCTGAAACAAGTAATTCGAATTCACTATTTTGTTCTGATAAGCTATAATGCTATCTTTACTGAGTTCGAGTAAAATCACTTTAAACTGTGACAGTGAATACAGACACACGCCAATTATAAAAACGCGCGAAATTGTCCGAATTTGTAATCTTACGTGCTAGATCGCACAGTGACTGTGATACAAAGTTGCGAGCAGCAGTTCTTTAATATAGAATAGTTATAATGTCGGTTCGGCATTTATATTCTCTATAACTTCTTGACGGTGAATCATTTCACCACCTCGCAAACATGATACTTTGCATTGCTTTCAGCAGTACCGAAAGTACCGACGAAACCGGAAAATCCCGTTTCCTTAGAGACATGGTACCGAAATTCCAGGTTCCGAAAAACAGCTCCGATTTCAAAAACCCTAATTAATACTCCAAATTAGAGTTCAGAACCGGTTTTGAAAGTACCGGGAATTACCGGATCTTTTTACTAACTTTAGTTGTATTTTTTGTAACTTGAATTTTTTCCATGTGACGGACGATTGAATGTTACTCTAATGCATTTTCTGCAAAGTGGCTAAATATCAGCATTCTTCAACTTTCGATTTTAGCCATACTACTGAACCGAATTGAATGAATTTGTACTCATTTGTAGGTACTCATTCACGCAGAATTTAATTCTCTTTAAATTGCCTAGTAGTGGAATGTGCGCTAAAACGCAACGTTTAGGAGCTATAGGCGAAAATATTAAAAGAGTCGAAGAATCTTGTGGGCCTCTTGGCTCCGTGCAAACCTAGGAAACTTCTATTTGACATCAAATGGACCAATTAAAACAATAATTAGCTTTCTAACACTTTTTGCCATGTGACCCCTCTAATTTGATTGGCCTGCTATGATTTTGAGTCTACAAAAACTTTTTTCTCAAATAGAGGCATTAAATTTTAGTTAATTTTAGAGCTCACGTGGGTACGGGCACTTATTGAGGAATATACCAATATCATATATCGAGCGGAATTACTGACATATCCAAAAAGTCAGCAGAAAATTTAAGAGAAGACCAGAGACCATGCTTGTAAAAAAATCACCATCACCAATAATCAAAAAGGCAAAATACCCAATAATACCATCAGAAGAACTAAGTTAAAGACCTAATTGAACACTAGAACATATCCAGAATGAAATAGAGATGGGCAGGCCATATGGCGAGAACATCAAACGACAGGTGGACTAAAATAGTAGTGGAATGGCGGCCACGGGAAAAACAGACGAAATAGAAGTAGGCCACAAACGATATAAAAAGAATTGCTAGGAATTGGATAATGACACTAAAAATAATGTATTTCGTAATATATACTGGAACCATAAGGGATGCGTCCGAACATCAACTGGAAACACTTACGTAGATATCCAAAGAGGGGTACGTCAGCCTGCCTCCTCTCCCCATTGTTATTTAATGTGTACTCGGAGTACATAATCAAACAATCGTTGGAAGATCGAGCTGAAGGAGCTAAACTAAATGGAATAGTGATTAACAACCTCCGTTACGCAGATGACACCGTAGTGATCGGACAGTCTAAAGAACAGCTACAGATTCTGATGAACATCCTAACAGAGCACAGTACCAGAATGGGTTTGGAGGTAAACGCATCTAAGACCAAAACTATGGTGTTTTCTCGGACCTCTCAAGATCACCCTCAATTGGACATTGTTGTTAATAACACCACTTAACATAATGTACAAAAGTACTGTTACCTGGACAGGGAAATAAACAGTCAGCTCGACCACTCTATAGAGATTAAAAGGAGAATAGACATCGCTCGTGCAGGATTCGTTAAGATGCGAAGCGTACTCTGCAACCCGCGTTGAGAACACTCAAGTGCTACGTTTGGCCTTTGTTGCTATACGGGTGCGAAACTTGGACCCTAAAACAGGAGGACCTCAGGATGGTGGAGGCATTCGAAATGTGGCTTTATAGGCGAGTGCTACGTATAAGCTGGACCACTAGAACAACAAATTTGGAAGTACTGACCAGAATGAACACCCGTACCCACTTAGTCAACACAACAAAAATAAGGAAAACCGCTTACCTCGGGCATATAATGAGACACGAAGAATACAAACAGCTTCAGCTAATACTTCAAGGTAAAATCGACGGAAAGCGCGGCTTAGGAAGGAAGAAGAAATCGTGGCTTCGAAATATACGAGATTGGACAAATATTTCAAACGGGAATACTTTAATACATCGAGCCCAACATAGGGAAGATTTTACCATAGTGGTCGCCAACCTCAACTTGATCCAGAACCGTAAGACATGGAGGATCTTAGGGGACGCTTATGCAGGGTTGCCAACAGTTCTCCATTCCAGAGGACAGTCCTCTTTTTTATCTCACTGTCCTCTTTTCTCTCGCGTATTGAAAAAGTCCTCTTTTTTACATACCAAACTCAAAATCTAAAAAAATGTTCGTCTATCGCCACAATGCTTTACAAAATTGTTAATTTATGTCTTTCGCTACTCCCACTCGTTTGTACAGAAAGGAAATCGAAGAAATATTTATGTAAAAGAAGTATTGTGGAAGCTTTAAACATGTTTAACTATTTTATGTTTACTTATTGTTGGCTCATGTTATGAAAAAGAGTATAAATATTGTTAAGAAAGTAAGAAAGACCATCAACAGTTTAATATTATACCTAAGTCTTTTATCTATGATCAACAGCATACTAATGACATAACTTTTTGGGAAATTCTAGACATTTGGGCAAGGTTTCAAAAAATGTTTCACCTGTGCCTCTTTTTTACCCTCTCGTCCTCTAATTTTTATTTTGAAAGTTGGTAACCAACTTGTTGGCTTATGTCAAGCAGTGGACAGTGACGGCTATGTGATACTGATGATGGTGGTATTGATACCACGTTATGTGAGAATAACTATACCTGGATGAAATCAATTATTATTGTGGTAAATGCGTAAAAAATTGATATTTCCAATTTTCGCAATAATACAAACATATCTTTAGTTGGATTCTTACCACTGATTGGGTGTTGCAATCCTGGCCAGTCATAGTCAAATCCAGCCTAAAAAGGTCGCTGTTGATGACGTCAACGTTACAAGTTTCCGATCTACCTAAAGCATAAATCCTTCCGTTGAATGGTTTGTTTGTCCTTACAGAAACGGCGATTTTGGTGTCTTTACAATTTACCGCCACTAAAAAAGAATAATAAAAATAAAAATGTTCTTAAAGTATTAAAAAATAATTTACCATCATAACAGGTTCCTGTTTTATCACAGTTTACGTCAGCAGTCTTGGTCAGATTATTGAGATTGGGATCTTGGGACGTCTCAAATTCCACTGGGAGTGTGTTTTCTCCTGATCCTGCACCGGCTGATGGTTCTGAAATACATTAAATCTATTAGTAAACTTAAAATCCTTTAATTTAACTTAGTAGTATTAGATTATTATACCTAGATTTAGCAGATAAAAAAAACTTTTTCTACGATCGTGCAAAAAGTAGTTCTATTTTTTACACTACCTACTGTATTAAAAGTCAAATTTTTTATACCAGTGCAAAAAATAACTTATTTTTTGCATTAGTGCGAAAAAAACTTTGGCATTATTAACGACAGTTTAACTAAAGAAAAAAAAATTGTAATTTTTTGTAAAAATTTGTCAAGAGTTTTAAGTGAAGAAAAAGAACCCGAAACCCCTCTACGAGTAGAAATGAGAATAAAATTCAAAAGACTACTGGAAATGAAGTTTGTCGATCAATTACCTTAGTGAATTATTTAAACTGCGACATTAAAATTAAAATCAACTCAAACAGAAGGTATTAAAAAAAATTGGCGCCGGGAGGCACGTATAGCCGCCCATACTAAAATATGTTAATAAAAAGTTGGTAGGCTGTTCTTTTAGTTTCAATTATCTCAAAAACTGCGACTTTAACTGATTTTGATGTTATTAAAAATTTTGTTGCAAATATTATTCCTAATCTTAAATTAACCGTTAGTAAACCGCGTTTCGCTAGCTACTGTAATTTAGGAGTTACCATTTTTTAAAATTTTTAACCCCCTCTCATACCCTCTTACCAACCCCCACCCCCACCAAAAACTAATGGCTTAAAGATTTTCGAGTGCCACCTTTGAATAAGAAGACTAAGGAAGGAGCATATCAAAAATCTTAGGTACACCGCGATGGGCCTCAAATATGGCCGACTTAAATTCCGGTTTATCAGTGCCGTTCTAATTTTATTTAAAAAATGTAAAACTATGATGTAGGGTAGACGTGGGGTAGACTCAATAATTTGTTATTTTATTTTACGTTGTGAATAAATGTTGGTAGTTATTAAAATTGTTATAAAAATATATAATTCTAATAAAAATAGATAAGTTATAATAAGTATTTATTAACATAAACATCCGATACGCTACTGACGTAAGTAAGTCAAATTAACGTATCAAAATTCTTTGACATCTGATCTTTGACAAGTAGTAAATAAAAGCTAAAATGCAAGAAAAATATATAATTTAGTTAATTTAAGTGAATTTCATAAATGATCGGTTTACTACACGTATGTATATTATATAGTCACTTACTAGCGAAAAGTTGTTCCATTATTTCACTCAATTTTTGCCGAGATCTACCGCACGCTACACAACCAACTATTTTAGAGTCTTTTTCGATAAATCGCGATAGTGTCACTGTTAATTTAAGTTCTGCCACAATTTCCATCTAGATTTACTACCTTTATACAACTATCAGTAGTAGAATAAATAATAAATAACATAAAATAAGCTCCGTAAAGACTGACAAATCCACAAAATTTCAAATCAAATTCAAATGTGTCAAATGAATCGTCAAACAGAACTGTCAAGTATCCCCACCCTAGAGTGCTTTTTTCGCCCACCATGCATGAATACATGGATAGCATTATGCTCCTTTCTTAGTCTTCTTATTCAAAGAGTGCCACAGTATTTTTGTGCAAAATTTGGTTAAAATCAGACGGACGGACAAACGGACAATTGGTGACAGACATACGGACAGACACCCTGAAAATACTTTGTACTTAGGTCATTTATGACTCAAATTACTCATTTTGAGTGAAATTAAAAAAATTTTTTTTTACCGATCTTAATAGCCTACCATACCTGTTGGTAGTCGTCTAATAAAAATATTTGTTTATAGTGTCATCGTTAGTGGTAATATTATTCTGTGAATTACTGTAAAAACTTTTTAATGTTTAAATAGGAATTTCAATTCGATAGTAGAAAAAATGTTGTGTGCAACATGTGCAAAAAGGATATTTGTTGCACTCAGCATGATTGCAGCTCTAAAACGCATGCGTCGTGCAATAAATATGTCCTTTTTGCACTAGTCACACAAATAACTATTATTTTCTTGAATATATTAGAGCAGAATCCTTAACTACAAACCATTTTAAGATATATTAAGAGACCATAATGTAAAAATGTATTTTAAAAAATACATATTTTTAAATATACAGTGTGATTAAATCTCTTAGCGTTTTATTACAAAAGATTTTATGAACTTTTTGATATTAAATTAAATTATTTTGAAATTATTTTTTTTTTTAAATTTTTTAGTTTGTTCGACATTTTTAGAGGTACCAACAATCAACATATTTGAGGAATATCAGGTTTATAAATAAAGATGGACATAGACGGTTGAATTTGGCTGAACCAAATTTAGTGGTGTTTTTTTGCAATTCAATAAAATTGTTCAACAAAAAACAACCTAAATGAAGGAAGTTGTATCGGATCGGTATATAAAGAAGAACTATCTCTAGTATATTTTAGTTTGATTAGATTAGAAGAAGACACATTAGGCAGTATTGCCATTTTACAATTTTCAGAGAGTTTTAAATTTGTAAATATTATGCAGACTTTTTAGATTTAGTCTAAAAATGGTCATATGTCAAAAATCTTTTGGTATAGATTCTGATAAAAAGGTATTTTTTGAATAGTAATTTACCTTAAGTTTAATAAGAAAAAAACAAAATAGTCAGCATTATCAGTCCATTTAAAAACTCCAACTTTAATATAAAACTAAGTTTTAACCAGTGGCGGACTAAGCCTGTCGGGGGCCCGGGACGGCAAAGCTAAATGTGGCCCCCGGTCTGCACATTTTGTAAAGATTGAATGACGTATGAATAATGGTTGACAATTTTCAAGTATTTATATACTGTACTAATTGTAATAAAAATCGATATATATATATATATATATATATATATATATATATATATATATATATATATATATATATATATATATATATATATATATATATATATATATATATATATATATATATATATATATATATACAGGGTGTGTTACAAAAATAAGTGCAAGTATTTTAAGGGGTGGTAGATAAAAGAACCATATTTTTTCCTTATCGTTTTTCAAATAAATCCAAAATAACGGAGTTATGTTACTTTGAAAATATACAAATACAAAAATTTTGTCATATTAACAAGAAATTATGTTTTTTAACTAAAAACTAAAAAAATTCCCGAAGTTTTCAATTGTTTTTTCGCCATAAAATTACCATAAAATACTTGTACTTATTTCTGGGACACCCTGTATATTACAGTCAGTATGTCCCCGGATTGTCTTTACAAGAGGAAATTTTTTTTGAAACTTTTCTTTTTGAAAAAAATGCGTTTATAATTTTCTAAATATCCATACCGTTTTAGAAAAAATAAAAAAAAATAGAAAAATGTAGTTTTTTAATGTAATTTTTCCCCAAAAAAAATCCTAAAAAAACTGAAAGTCCTAAAAATTAAAACGCTATGGTAATATAATTTCGATTTCATTTTTTGATAGATCGTTATAATTTATTTTGATTAGCGTCATAATTTTTGATGTTAAAGTATCACATTTTCCGATAACTATTATCACCCTTTCCGTAGCATTGAACTAAATAAATTTTGTGCTTTTTTAACATTTTAAAACAGCAAAAAATATAACTTTAATTAAAATTCTGTCAATAATAATCTATCAATTAATTATCACGAAGTTATATTACCATAGAAAGGCATTTTATTTTTACTAGTTCAAAAATTCAACTACATTTTCATGTTTTTCTTATTTTTCTCTAAAACGGTATGGAAATTTGGAAAAGTATAAACAGGAATTACCATTTTAGAATAAGCAAAAATTTTTATGAAGACAATCCGCGGACATACTGTAGATATAAATATGTTATTCATCGGCAGTGCCGTTTTTACGTAGGGACCCGACGCGCGACGGGCCCCGACCAAAGAATTAAGGGCCCCTTTGAGGGCCCCAGCTTCAAAAAGGGTTCAAAAACGATAACATCATTTTTTTAAAGCTTATAATAATACATTTAAATTGAAAAACGACTGCAATTTGACGTTATAAAACAAACCCCGAGCGAATGTTTACATATATTTAATGGCAATTTATGATGACAAAGTGATGGGAATACCGGTTCCACATATAAGCCGCGTTACTTTCGCGACCGTTCCAGGTAAATACCCCGATTTTGTAAGGGGTCCCTTACAAAATCGCGGTATACTCCTATATAGGTCCAAGAATAAATAATAATTATTCGAATATAAAAAATAATAATTATTCGATATTCTAAACAAAGAAAATTACCCCTTGATTTAATTTCGTAAATAGAAAATTTCCATTGACAATTACTGGGACTGACAATAATTGATAATTAAGTAAATATCTGCTTCCATTTATACTGTGTTTAGTTTGCGTATACTTATGCTTTGCATACTCTAACTACAAATTGCTTTATAACTACTGAACACATAGTGGCCTGTTTGCCAGTTGAATAAAAAATTACTTATTAAGATTTGGAGGCCCCCTAGAAGAAGGGGCCCGGGGCGGACCGCCCCTTCCGCCCCCCCCCCCTAGTCCGCCACTGGTTTTAACCACTTCACCAAAGAATTTTATTTAATATGCGTTTTCTCTCATTACCCGATTATTTATAAAAAACAGTAATATACAGAGTGAGTGTTAAATAAGTGCAAATATTTCTGGGGTAGTATATTTCGACCGCAGTAACACGTCTATGAGATTTTCCTCGCAAAAATTTTTCTAGAAAAATTTGGAATATTTTTGAAACATTTTTTGGAGTTTTTTTTATAATTTTTACTTAAAAAAACATAAAACCTTGACAATATGGCAGTATTAGCAGAAAAGATTCAGTAGTTCTCAAAATTTAAGTAAAACATATTTTTTTAGAAAAATATGTTCTAACGAGATCTCTACACAGGGCTGGCTGTATGTGACAATATATTTGCACTTATTTAAGACTCTCCCTGTATACTTGTTACCTCTTACTTCCTCAGGGTACTTACTTTCACAACTATTTTCAAAATAGCTTCCTATCCTGTCACCACTGTCAATCAAAGGCCTTTCTGCATTCAAATAAGTACTAGGACCATCCGGCAACGTCTTGTGATCTAAATGGAACAGCTGACAGTTGTATTGCGCACCCTGCAACATACGAGTCTTAGTAAAAGTTTCTGTTTTTTCAGATCATTACTTACCATTGGAGGTCCTTTGAACAAGAATGATCTGCACAGAAATTCGTTTTCGATTTCACAAGCTAATCTGCAGGCTGCTTCTGAGGTTACTTGAAGCTCTTTGTCCGTGTAGTAGTGGAGAGTGGCGTATTGTGAGACTTTGTCTTCTGCTACCCCTATTCTAGGCGTTTGGAAGATTCTGTTACCTGTGCATTTATTGAAAAAGGTAAGGTATAAGTACTTTAAAATTTTAAACATCAGTGTAATATTATATTATTTAAAATCTGTTCAACGAGCGAAAGAAGATTTTGACAGACAACATCCAAAAAAGATGACAGAAAATACATTTTCTTCCATAGCAACTGTTAAAATTGCCTTATATCCTTATATCTATCAAAAATAGTAGATAAAATAGTACTTTAACTGCAAGGGTAGATTAAATGACACTTTAACAGCGAGGATAGGTTAAAAACTTTATTTCCTCTCGCACTAATTGCCTCTATTTTTGAAAATTTTTGTATTCCTTTTTATAAGTAGTTTGGATATATGGCATTTGTCGCCCCAGCTTGAATATCTGTTGGTAATTTACTTATTTCGTTTTGAGTAATTTCTGGCTCCAATTCAATCAGCAATCGACACGAAAGAGAATTAAAAAATATTGACTCAAAACTGACAACTAAAGAGAGCTGTATTTATTTGTCAAATTACATAGAAACCAACGCCAACCCAGCACAATATTTTTTCTACTCGTAATGAATTCCTTGAAATAATAATTTCTGAATATTTTTTAAAACGTAACTCGCTATGCAAAAAAAAAAATAAAATACCATTTTATGTTTAAAATGACATACAACAACTGTCAGTACTAAAGAACCTCTCAGTGAACAGGCTTTACATAGTTAAGGATAAATTAGGTGTTTCATTTGAGGGAATACTGACCTTTACAAGCTTGGTTTCCTTTTAGACATAAGTTTTCGAAGTAGTCTACTCCTTGGGCGTCTACAAACTGCACGAACTGTCCTGCAGACCGTCTGTCAGTATCACTGAGTTGACATTGTAGCGTGATATAGTTGTACTCGCACGATCTGCATGTGAAGCGATGCTAGGAAAAGATAATTTTAAATATTAATTAAACAAAGTAAATAATGAGTTGGACAATGAGTTTTATTTTAAATGTTAGATGTACAGGGTGTCCCATTTTCGTGTTTTCAGGGGTTTCTCGTTTATCAGTAGAGACAAAAAGATGCGGTTTTCACATGACTGTATTTTTTATGAAACTAAACTAGTTGGTTTTTGAAATGCAGGGCGAATTTGAAAGCATTGCATTTTTCGACATTCTTTGTATCTCGGAAACTAAATTATCTAAAATGTAAAAACTGCGCCCCATAGAGTATTTTAAATTTATTTCTGTAATCTGTACATTTTCTGTTTCCTCAATAGCCTGTAAATTTTTTGGAATGCCACCCAAAATACACACTTTTATGCAAATGCCTAATAATGTTAACGCTTAAATTTGTATAAGAAGAGAAATTTTTTTGAACCTAACCAACAATTCGTATTTATAGTGGTTTACAGTAATTTTGTTAAATTATACGAATATTCTCGTTGATTATTGGTTTGAAATAAATATGACAGTGTCCTCCAATGAAAATGCGAGTTACTAACTCTAATAATTCTAATTCTAAGCTAGCAACTTAGCTAGATGCTTTACCTAGACCGGTATTCAGAAGCTATAAACCCATCGATGAAAATATGCATGAAAATTTAGGATATTGGTACAGAGGTACAGTATCAAGTTTATTATAGGGTTTTTTTTAGTCGCGTATGGCACAGATCGTTACCCAGAGCAAGTTAAATTGTTTTTTTTTAAATTGTAGATCTACCCCGACTGGGGTAGCTATGGTAACGCTGCCGTTACCACCTTAACTTTTCCTGACGTTAGCTCGTGTATCATGCTCTTGAATTTTTAGTCTTTCAACGCGCGTAAAAAAGTTTCACCTCAATATACAGGGTGTCACATTAAAAAAAAAATAGTTATATTTCGAAAATAACAGCTCTCAGCGAGAAACTAGTTACACCGTTACACCACTGGGCTAGGGCAAATCTGTGTGTAGCATCTTTAGTTTCGTAAAAAAGTTGCAGAGTGACGTGAAAACCGCATCTTGTACCTCTACTCATAAACGAGGAACCAATTAAAACACACAAAAATGGGACACACTGTACATTATACCATTCTCTTGAGTCTCGGATTTAGAAAGCTTTTTAAAAAACCTTATTCGCCTTTCTTTTATATCACACTTTTTAATTTTAATGATATCTGACAAAAGCTAAATGAAACTGTCTTTCCAAAGAGAAGGAAATAAATTATTTAGCGCCATTTTTTCGTTTCCAAGCATAACGAGTGCTGAGGATCCCCTGACTGAATTAATTCCCGAGATCATGCGGTTGAATATTTAATATTGCCTTTTTATGGCGGGAAAACTTTTACAATTTTATCTTAAATAATATGCAGAGAAAAAAAAAGAAAGTATTTTATGTTCTGGACGTGTTTTTGGTGTCATATTTTTTAATAATATGAATTAAATTGAAATTCAGATCGAGAGAACCAAGAAACATAGGTATATTTGAATTTCTATAGTATACAGGGTTGTCCAAACTGTATTCCGGAAACTCCGGCAGCATTTTCTCCAGATAAAAATAAGTAAAAAAGTTCGTATAAATGTATGTCCTAAAAGGCTTAGTTTCGGAGATACAGGGTGTAGAAATTTCATTTTTATTTCGATTTTTTTCGAATAATTTCTGAAATAATAGCCCCAATATTCGGATGAAAATTGTTGTCTGGGAGTTTTTTGACATGAGAAATTTGATTTAGATGTCAATATGACTCCTACCACTAGAGGGTACCACGTACATATTTTTAACTGGTTTGAAAAGTAATAACTTTTCGTCCGTACCTGTATGAAACTACTGGGTAAAAAAATACACATTTACGACGTTTTTTACGTAAAAAAGAGCTCTTGGTAAAAATCGCTACGAGTAATGGTTGTCGAGATATTTGGAACCGAAATTATTAATACCTGTCATCATTGACATAAATTAAACATGTTGACTAAATAGTTATTAGACTGAAATCACAAATTTGAAATATTTTTGTGCTAAAAGTTCAACAGTAACTGTTTTATCATCATTTTTTCGAAGAAAAAATTATTGTTAATTTAAAAAAAAATGATATGATAATAATAACTGAAATGATAAATTTGAGAACTTTTACTCAAATTTATCATTTCAGTCAAATAACTATCTACTCAACATGTTTATTTTTAGTCAATAATGACATGTATTGACTATTTCCATTCTAAATATCTTGAGAACGGTTGCTTGTAGCGACTTTTACAAAGAGACAATGTGGACATAGAAAGTCTAAGGTATTTTCGCCAATGGGATAAAATTAATTTAGAACGTCGCCGTCGTTTCTGACATAATATTAGTAAGTCTGCTTCTCAAGTAAAATTACTCTGTTGCCCTCGGGTATCTGTCAAATTTGATATTTAAAGTAATAAAGTGTTTAAAAAAGGAGTTGGCAAATTTTGAAAAACTTTTTTTGAATATTTGATTTTATAGGGGCAGTATAATATCATGAAAACAGAACATCAATGACATTTCCCATATAAATTTACATATAAAATGACAGCGATCTTCATTTCATAGCCATCGCTAACGTCGTTTTTTTCGATCATACGGTAGCAATATCTAACCACACAATTCTATAAATAGGCTACGAAAAATACATTCTGACATATACTAAATGTCAAAATACAAAAAAAAGTTTCCAGCATGTACAAATATGAATTTTATGATTGCTATCTTCATAAATGCGGAAGTTATTCATACTTTGCATTACTTTTTGTCTAATTTTTATAATTAAATTTATTTTTCTTTATAAAGTATTAACATATGCAACAAATTTAACTGAATATATGACCGCTAGGTAAATATTTGACTAACAGACGAACTACCATAAGTACGAACTACCACGAGAATCGGCGGCTATTGGTTGTAGTTGGTTGTAGTACCAAAACAAACAAAATTTAATTTTTCATCTAGATGGCTGAAAATTGCTGCACGTATGTAAAATTAAATAAGAAACAATTTTTTGAAATAAAATTTTTCGCAATTCTACCAACAAACCCATTTTTTAGCCATTTGTTACATTAAATGTCAAATTTAACAGATACGCAGGAACAATAGGCAACACTTTCTTAAGTCATTTTTAATATGAATCAAAACAAAAACTATCGTCGAAGTCAAATTTCACTTAACTCAATAAATAAAAAAAAGTTCCATATACTGCGAACTTTATCTGTGACGCTGTATACATAATTTTGGAGAATCTTAAAATATACTTCGTTCCAATACATGTCCAATATAATTTAATACATTATAGGTACATACTATTAATAACTTCAAAAATGTTGATTGATCTGTAACTGTCTATACTATTATAATATTAATATTACTTAACTCACCTCATTCAGACAAGCCGCCAGGCACGCTTCCTTAGTAGACGTGTAGATTAAGGCATTATCCAAACCCCTGATCATTTTATTGGGCACCCTTTCGAAAGCCCAGGGCCTAAGACAAATATTTTCGCTTCTCAGCTGCAGCTTCGTCATATAATACATGTTGACGCTTCTCTGAGGCGTTGCCGTAGGTATGTTAGCCTGAGTTTCGTTTTGTAGCTGACATTGAGTTTCCTAAAATAATATTTATATTATTAAGTACCAAGAATATTAAATTTAACAGGTGGCCTCATAGCTTCAGACCCATCAGTGATACAGTTGTAACGTTTATATACAATTTTTAACTTAAGGCTTATCTAGGGTTGCCATTTTTTTTGTAAAGTAAAAAAAAAGACATTGGACTATAAAAAAGGACCGGCGAGGGGGGGTACATTTGTGCTTAGGCGTAAAAATGCTTTACTTTTATGCCTAAGCGTTAAAATGACTTTTTTATATTGTAATCACGTCGAAAAAATTAATACTTCGAAAATTAATACGTTTGAAAAAAAAAAACATTATTTATAAGCTTTATAACATGCCTAATTAAATGTTTGGATGAGTTAAAGGTATTGGATGAAAGGAATATTTCTAGTTGCTGTAGATAATTTTCTCAGGGAAAATATGTAAATAAAAAGGACATTTTAGGTAAAAAAAGTCAAAAGGATAATTTGCTCCAAAAAAGGACTGCCCTTTTCAACAAAGGACAGGTGGCAACCCTAGGCTTATCTTTAGCGAAGATATAATGGAATGATTTTTAGAATCGAATACCACGCATTCGAATACTTTTGAGAATCAAATATACAGGGTGGTCCGAAGTGTATTCCGGAAACTTCGACAGCATATTCTGCAGTTAAAAATAAGTAAAAAAGTTCTTATAAATGTATATACTAAAATGCTTAGTTTCGGAGATACAGGGTGTAGAAGTTTCATTTTTATTTCGATTTTTTCCAAATAATTTCTGAACTAACGTCGATATTTGGATGAAAATTGGTGTCTGGGAGTTTTTTAACACGAAAAAATTGATTTTGATGTCAATATGACTCCTACTTGTAGAGAGCATTTATACCAACTTTTTTACTTATTTTCATCTGCAGATTATGCTGCCGAAGTTTCCGGAATACAGTTCGGACCACCCTGTATATAAAATAAAAATCTTCAAAAACGCCTCACCTAATTTATGAACGCCCTCTTTCGGATATTTTTTTAAGAATAAAAATATTCTGATACAATCGTCTTCTTTCATTAATCCACAGCATTAATCGGACTATACATTATACATAAATACTATAAATAGTAGTATCGGTACTCGGTACTTAAATAATATTTTTAACTGGAATAGTGTATTTTTTCTTACTTGGACTGGTATTAGAGGATTCAGTACAAAACTGAAAGCAGCTGCTTGACAGTCAGATTCCTCCCTACACCATCCTTGACATTCGTAGAGACTCAGGTTCTTTACTGTGTAGTAAGTCGTGCCTTTGTAGTCGTAATCTGTCAATTTTTCGAATGCTATTCGACCTGAAACGTAAAAAAATCTCTATACAACATTCTAAGATCTAAAACCTAAAAAATCAACTGTAATGTGAATCCACGGAGACAGTTTCGAGAGGTTCTTTACTCGAATACAAGTTTTTCTAAAGATATGAAACTACCCAATGGTCAAAACGCGGTACTAACATTCCTTCTTCTGGTGGAAGTCAATATTATAAATTATTATTATTTAAATATACCGGGTGTTTTGCAAAGGTAGCTCACGCCTATATGAGTTTTATTCTTTCAGATTCTTTATTCTTTCAGAAGAATAAAACGAGATCTGGACTTGGTAAATAACATAAATCAGGATGAGCTGACGTATTCAGTTAGTTTGGATCACTATCTGTTTCTCCGGAAATCACTTCAACTTTTGATTTTTAAATGGTACCCTCGGTATTTTTTAACTTTATTTGATAGAAAATCATATTCTGAATAGAATAGGCCAATTAAAAGATGCCCATACAATGAAATTTTAATCATAACTCAATTTTTTCAAATGGAAAGAGAGTAGCTCATCAGCATATTTTGAAAATACATTTTTTTACTAATAATTTAGTACCTCACACTTGGTATTTGGAGTCAAATTATCGTTATGTTCACTGCCATAGCACTATACATATTTAAATTTAAAATACTATATATTTTTAAACGAAAATTTCATAACTTGACATACGATGTCATTCTATTAAGAATGTCATTTTCTATTGAATAAAGTAAAAAATTCTCGAGGGTACCATCAGATGTTGTCTCTGGTACCATGTAAAAATCAAAAGTTGTAGTCATTTCCGTTGAAACACGAAGTGACCGAAAATAACTGAATACGTCAATCCTGACTTGTGTCATATACTAACATACGAAATGACGAAAAATGTGTGAAAAAAAAGTTATAGGGGTGAGTCAAAATTATTACTTTTATAATAACCTTACAGAAAATAGTAAAGAATTTTTTGAATAAAAAGATTAAGGAAGTAGCATATCAACATACTTAGGTGGAGCGAGATGGGAGTTTAATATGGCTGACTTAAATTCCGGTTCATCAGTGCCGTTCTATTCTATTTTTTTAAAACATGTAAAAATATAATGTAGGATACACTCAATAATTTGTTAGTTTTGGTTTACGTCGTTAATAAATGTTACTCCTATTAGTTTTTAAAATAGTGTTAAAAATATATTTCTACTAAGAATAGAGAATCTATAAGTAATAATTATTTATTAACAAAAATATCAGATACGCTACTGAAACACCGAAGTTCAATTGACGTATCCTAATAGTACCCTAATTATTTTTGACAATTTGTAAATATATCCGAAAATACAAGAAAAAAAAACGATAAACACGATATCCCCAAAGCTGTATGCAGCAACATTAGAAGAAATCTTTCGTCAACAGGACTGGACCAACGAAAGATTAAAAATAGATGGAAAATATCTTAATCATCTAAGATTCGCTGATGACATAGTCCTTATTGCCAATAGTCCTGAAGAACTACAAGCACAAATTAATGAATTAAATACAGTCAGCAATAAAGTGGATCTCAAAATGAATTTAGCTAAAATTAAAGTAATGTAAAACAAACTAGTGAAAAGAAAAGACACTCTAATAAATAACTCAACACTGAAAATAGTAGAAGAATATATATGTTACGGTTAAAGTCCGATGTCCGGTTAATGTCGACATTAACAGGTTAATGTTTGGGGGTTATGTTTTTGGTTGTTTTGTTGTGTGTCATATTTGGGACACTAATACACAGCTCAGGATCTCTACGACCAGAAATCAACAGAAGGATTAAGTTAGCATGGAGTACTTATGGAAGAAACTCAATCATATTCAAATCTAGAATGCTACTCTATATAAAGAAGAAAACATTCGACCAATATGTACTATCAGTCATGACTTATGCATGTCATCATAACATAAGGACATCATAAGGAAACTGCAGGTCGCACAACGTTCAATGGAACGAAATATGCCGTGAATAACCAATAGAGACCGTAACAGAATAGAGCGAGGATACGACAAAAGACCTAGGTAATAGATGTCATCCACAGAGTAAAATCCCTCAAATGGCCATGGGCAGGACAGCTGGCAAGAAGAACAGACAACAGATGGACCACAAAAATAGCAGCATAGTACCTACGAGGAACTAAGAGACCTAGAAGACCGAACCGCATAGCCAACAATAGACAACAATGGGCCCAACTACAAAGAGAGTATGTGAGGGAGGCTACACTATAATTGGAAATGGCTGAATAAGCTGAAAACGATGATGATGATGATGATGACTAGAAAAAAATATACAAATAGTTAATAAATTACTTTCAAAATATACTTCTAGATTTACTGCCTCTAAACAAAATCTATTGTAGGATAAATAGTAAATAACATAAAATAAGAACTGAACTACACAACATATACGCAAAATTTTAAATTATATTCAAATGTTTCAATTGAAACGTCAACTAGAACTCTCAAAAATGGAGGTTCATGGTGTCAGTTTCGTCATTAATGCATGAATATATGGATTGTATTATACTCCTTCCCCCCTAATCTTTTTATTCAAAGATAGAATTATACCACTTACCTAAACAACAGCTAAAACATAATGCTAAGACTAAACCAATACTGAGGTGCGTACTGCTGGCCATCTGAAAACAAAAAAAAACAAACAAAATTAATAAACAAAAATCAACAAGATCGTGCTGAGAGAAAAGAAAAAAACTATAACCGACGATTCATCGGTGCATAGAAAATACGAAGCCCAGTAATGTACCTGTCAAGAAGTTATTGTTCAGAACTCGATTGTGTACTGGGTGTGCATTTTTTTTGGTGCCCTAGGCACTTGTTGCTTGGGCGATATAACAATGAAAAGTGATTCATTTTATTCGTATTTCTTTGGCTCGCGCCGTGTTGTAGGTTGGAAAATGATTGAATTTCTTCAGGTTCTTGTCAAAGATTAATTCAACGATAATAAATGACGAGATTGCGTGTGGAAAGTGAATATAACTTTGATATTTATCGTTTAGTATTTTACGTAGTTACGTACTATATTTCTTGTTTGGATGATAAATTTTACGAAGGAAGTGTATAATCACTAAACATACAAGTTATAAAATATTACAAACATTTCTATCTACAGATATTATTTATGTGGTGTTTGCAATTATACATGAATAGTTTTTAGTTAGTTTTTAGGCTCTAAATTTTGCTGCAGTGATAATTAATGTTATTATATTCGATATTCATAAGTTCTATAAATAATCGCTTTACTGAAAAAATACGAAATGTGTGAGAGAGAGAGATATGTGTTAAAGACGCATCGACTGTAGAGTCTTTTAGCGTCACTTTATCCCATTATTTATATATTTATGTCTAAACTAAACGTTCTCCGTAAATATTTATATATATTTATATATGTCGATGTCCTTTATATAATCCAACATAGCCTTGTTATTTTGGAAGGAAAGGGCTGCCTCAGGGTTATCCACGATACCGTGTTGTCTTCGTTTTAACGCGTACTTTGGGCATTCAAAGATAATGTGTTTGACGGATGTTGGAAGATTACATGTTTCACAAATGGGCTGGTTCTGTCCTTTAAGGAGGTGTTCATGGGTAAGTTTCGTGGGTCCTAAACGAATTCTAGTGAGCACAACGAAATTTCTTCTAGGTAAGTTAACTACATTATTTTCAAAATAGTCCCTTTTGATTTCATGAAGCTTATTATCATTCATGTCTAAGTCCCATTCTAGGTGGATTATATTATCGATCATATGTTTGCCATAATTCTTTAGATCTTGCAGGGAGAAAACGAGGTTGGTTTTATGAGGGTTGGGAGTTTTTGCAGCCAAGTAATCAGCTCTGTCATTGCCAGGAATTCCTATGTGGCTCGGAAGCCAAAGGAAAGTGACGCTGTAGTGGTTGATATTGGCCTTCTGTAGAAGCATTTTGATTGCCATAACTAATGGATGGTTGGAGTAGAAAGAGGAGATACTTGAAATGGAACTCAATGAATCGGTAGCCACGAGCCATCTCTTATAGCTGAGGTCAATATATGTTGAATAGCCTTAAATATTGCAAAAATCTCTGCTGAGAATATTCCCGTTATGGGACTAGTGAGAAACACATTTCTTTATCAAACGTATGAAAAGCCGCTCCAGTGTGCCAAATACGAAATGTGTTGTACAAAAAATTGAGTTTGTTTAAGAATCATATAGCAATATTTTTTTATTTTGTTTATTAAATTATCATTCTCATGGGCACACAGTTCAATGGTACTCCAGCATCCTTCAGACAGAAATTTGCGTACAATTTATCTTAGATAGGAACTATCGAAAACAGGAAATTGCCATCTTATCCGATAGTCAAGCAGCACTAAACCCGATCAATTCAGTAACCATCAATTCAAAGTTGGTCAAAGAAGGCCTAGAGAAGCTCAAGAAATTGTGCAAAGCAAATAAAGTCCTCCTACTCTGGGTGCCTGCTCACCAAGGGATAGAAGGCAATGAAAAAGCAAATGATCTAGAAAAGGAGCGAATACTTGACTAACTGTACCAGAACCATTCTGTTTTCTAAGCGGGAACCAACTGAAAGCGGAACTGAAGAATCTGGACCCCAATGGGTATCCTCCAACGATCTAAGACTCCCGAAAAAGTTCCTCGGAACTAACGACCGAGAAAAATCAAAGGTTTTCCTTGATTTAAGTAAAAACAATCTCCGGATTGTCACGGGGTTTCTAACAGGACATGCACTGTCTCCTCAACGAACACCTCAGTAGGCTGAAGCTGAGAAACAACGGCGAATGCAGATTCTGTGGGGAATGAATACACGGACGCATTAAATTGACGCATTAGCTCGTATAGTGAATATGGGGCTTAACAGTTTTAGTTTCACAAAAAATATGATCATTCTCAGTTGAAAGTGAAAGATTTGTGCAAAGACGATTAAAGTTTAAAAGAAGAATCTTCAGATGAAACATCAGTTTGAATCATCTGCTAATGATGCTAATATGCTTAAGGCGGATTAAAACGGTAGAAGTGTACTTGGACAAAGTACACTTGGATACTGCCATATAACTGTACTTATAATAATACGGCGTGCGTCTCACCTGCACGCTGTTTGTATCGTATTAACTGTTTTATCCAACTCAACTGTGACTAACAAAATTATCTTTCACCTTCGACTTGGTGCATTTTAAATTGTGTTTAAAGCAGAATTGATTGCCACAAAAAGTTTTTTTAAACTCTAATACCAAAAAAAACCCGTCCATATTGATCCAGCTTTATGGCGAACACTGTAATTATTGAAGGGCTTCCCTGAAAAACGTTGTAACCGACATTTTTTTCAAAATAGAGAATTCAGTGAAATAAGGTTCTAATTTTCATAGGTATAACGTTTTTTCCTCGGTTTTTTCACTGAAATTTCGATGTTGAAAAAATTGTTGGTTACAACCGAGGAGCCATTCAATTATTATTCAATTATTACATTAATGATTACTAAGCAATATTAGCTACATAGCCAATTAAAATCAGAAAACCAGGAAGACTTAAATTTAATATTATAAGAATTTACTACTTTTTCTTATTTCTTTTTTGCAGTTTATGGTTAAAGATTCAGTTGGTCGTCCCTGAGATAAAACATCCCTCTTATCTTCATCTGTGCACCGTCTGAAGGGAGTTTCCAATAAATTGCAGACCAAGTCATTGATTGCGTTCATTTTTTAACATATATACACACATAAAATAGTTTTAAAAGACAACAACAAAACAAACAGCAAAAATTAACAAGTTAAATCAACAAAAACCATTAACAAACAACAAGAAATAATCAACAACAACTTTACAGTCTTTACACGGTTAATTACTCGCCGAAGTAGCCGAATATTAGCATAAAGGAGGACGAAGCGAACTGCCCTAAACCAAAAACTCATTCACATCGGTCGCCGATAAAAAAATTCGGGGCGGGGAATTTACATGCTGGCGCTAGGCTGACGTCACGTTACCATGGAAACCGTGCAGCCGCTCGGCTCAGAAATATTTTCACTTCACTTGTGGCTTCGTGAAAACGTAGGCGCGTGCGGGCCAATAATGCTACTTTTTCGGCCGGAATTAACGATGCAGTGGACCTATTATGCAGAGGTCCACCCGGAAAAAAAATAACTTATAAAAAATTACCATTTTATTATTTAGATACATGTAAATATATTAAACTAAATTAATATTTTAAGCAGTAAAGTTTTTTCTTTAATTTGAGTATTTTTTTCGGTAAGTGCCCCTTCACCCACTGCACCTGACGAGCCGCCACTGCAGTTATGACCTATGCATGCGAAGCCTGGATACTTAAAAAGGACATAAGGAAATTGCAGGTCGCACAACGCTCAATGGAATGAAATATGTTGGGAATATCCAAGAAAGACCGTAAAATAATAGAGTGGATACGACAAAAGACCCAGGTAATAGATGTCATCTACAGAATCAAATCCCTCAAGTGTACTTATGGAAGAAATTCAATCATATTTAAATCTAGAATGCCACTTTATCTAAAGAATAAAATACCGTATGATCGAATAAAAACGGCGTCAACGATGGCTATGAAATGAAGATCGCTGTCATTTTATATGGAAAATTATATGGGAAATGTCATCGATCGTCATTTCCAAGCCAACTGGACGCCATTTTTTTTCGATCATACGGTACTACAAAGACAGTAAGACAGTATATGTGAGGGAGGCTACACCATAATTGGAAATGGTTGAATAAGTTCAAAATGATGATGATACAACTTAAAACAAACCACAATCATAGTTGAAATAAAATTACTATAATATTCAAATTCCATTGAGAAATAAACCATCGTACAGCTATAATAATAAATACCTCTCACGCGGTATGGTATATGGTCCTGAACTGAAATCCGTGGTCAAGTTCAACGTCCCGCCGAAGCTTCACTGGGTCAGTGGTACCAGAGTGCAGCGTTGCCAATCTTTGTGGAATTCCACAAAATGTGTGGAATTCGTAATAATGTTGTGGAACGTTTGTGGAATAGAATAAATGTGGAATTTTGTGGAATTTTCGGAATTATTCCTTTTTTTCTTTTTTTTTTCCTTATTTAGCTAATAGTAAAAAAAAATATTATAGAACTCATCATAATTTTACAGATTTCTGTAAAAAGAGCGTCGCCGTCGAGGTTAGCAGCTAGGTTCGGTATTTAGATCTGCAAGCAATCCGACGAAATTTTCGACATATCAGATATCACACGTCACTATATAATGTAAAATCCCTTTAAGATCACGTGGTTTATATAAAAAAAATATCGGATTGGTCGCAGACCTAAAGACCGAACCTGGCTAGTGATTGTGGAATTTTGTGGAATTTGGGTATGTTCGCCGTGGAATATAATTTTGGACCATTGGCAACGCTGCCAGAGTGGTACCAGCAACCAGTCGGCGTCGTAACGGATTACGTCAAACTCGTCCAAATATGGGGACCGGTTCGATAACGTTCTTTTTTTTCAGAAGCGATCGTGCCGGTTTGGGATTTTTCTCATTTTTTAGCTTTCTTCGGCACGCTCGCCCCAAATTTGGCGCTGCCACTGCATTAATATTCATCGGGGATACGCGGCGCACAGTTATTTCAATGGATTTTAGTTCAAA